CGCTGTATTTTATACTAGATTCTTGGACGGCCCATCGATAACAACTCGTCATTCTACATTGGCTCTAAATTCCTTGGTGTCCACTTTATTTGCCCTTTAGACCGACGGTCGCAGGAAGACCTACGGCCCTCCGAGCATGCCACTACGACTTTTCAACACCGTCAGGACACACATCCAGCGGACGCGGTCTTGGAAAGAGCCATTAGAGTGCCCGCCTTATATGCCCATCCAGACTCAATGCGTTGAACGAAAGGTTGCGAGATTATCTACTCACCGCCTTATCGAGCGACATGAGGTTCTACCTGCGCCAATGTACTGACTCTGGGCCGCAGTAAACGCGTTGCTGAAGCCGAGTCGGGCGGCCGCGTAGACAATTGCGTTTGCAAAGGCTCGTGAGCTCAGCGCACACTTTTTGCCAAGCTATAAGACAGTGCGCGGCAGTTGGTGGGCAAGGGCTGTCCCTGAAGATTCCTGGATGGCCCTGATCAGGTTTTTGGTTGATTGGGGCATGACCATTGCTCCAATCGGAGTCGTCTGCAAAGTTGATCCCGATAATTGAACAGTACGAGTCTCAAGTGCCGATGTCTACCGGCACGTACACATCTTTTCTCTTTTCTGAGCTCGGTCACACGTTTTTGTCTGAAAACGTAACCATGCACGTTTCTCACTGACACAACTTGGTGGTCGAGTACCCAGCACGGGCAAACCTATCGACAGTCAGATCTACTACCTTCGGGTGAGCTGCAAATTGCTCATTTTATTTGCGTTTTTGTACTTTACGTTCGATGATGCCACCCAAAGCATTTTCCGGTGCTCGTAGACGAGCCCGAACTGTCGCTTTCAAATTGCTTGGCAAATCAATACGTCAGTCGATAACCGAGGCGAACCCATATGCACAGTTCATTTTGGCTACTCATTCTCCAGAAATCGCGGGTCCCCATGAAATCATCTCATAGACATCTCTCCTCTTCAGGTGGCAACATGATGACGCGGTACAGTAACCCTGCGCTATGGTCAGGCGACGGTTTTTCTCCTCTTACAACGATGTGACAATCATAGTTGAAGATATGGGCAAAGAAAATTTTTACGTGAACATATTCCAACGCTTGCTGGGGACCGAGTGAAAATAGGCAAGTGAAGGAGTAGGGGGCAAAACCGAGGTCATTCGTCGCTTCAACGCGCGCGTGCCGTCACCCCAGACAGCCGGAATTCTTTCTGGTCGACGGAGACTTTGATGAACTGCTCGGCATCAATACCCAAACGATCCTCATTTTTATCGATTGACTGGTATGATATCGAAACATTTTTGGTGGAAGGCGATGCCATATGCTCGGTTGCCGAGGAGGAATCTCCTTCGCGAAGTGCAAAACATATGATATTGAACTACAGGTTCAACATGTTGTCTCAAATCCTAGAGATCAGCATTCGGTTGTCGGCCGCGTCAGCATTGTGGCAAGAGCTCAACATCACGCACCCGAGATTTTTGCAGAGTATCGAGCGTCATATTCCTCCTTCGCAGACACTACCAGATAGAAACTCGATACAAGCATATATCGACCAGATGAAGATGCAACAAAGTGTCGTGTCTCCAGCAGAATTCGATCATAGACTTGAGGTAATGATTGCTCGCATGGGAGATTCAAACATTGAGCGACGTAAATGGGTTTCTGGAAAGCACATCGTTATGCCTTTGACTATGCGGTTATTGAGCCCATATGTGGCAAGGAAATTCGATAAAGATTCTCTTTGCTTCCGGCTGGCCATTAAGTGCGAGTTCGCCGAACTGTCCGAGCTCAAGAATCGGATACTTGCGGTCTGCTGACATGGATTAGGCAACTGCGGTGCAATACACGTGACCGCCCTTACCCATGCCAAAACCCCGCCGCCGTCCGGTCCGTCGCATCTTCGCCCTGGGCCAGGTATTTCTGGCGTAGGCGGTCCCAGAGGTAGAGGCGGGACCAGTTGGGTTGCTTTTCGTATTGCTGGTGTTCGTCGAGGTGGGGGTTGGGGAGGAGGACGGTGATCTGCTGCTGGCCGCCGCCGTTGCAGAGGCGGAAGCCCCAGGTCGTGGGCTGGTGGTCGGGGTTGAGGCGGCGGTAAAGCTCGTCGCGGGCGGTGCAGTCGGACGAGGGAACTGGCGCGGTCTCCCCGGGTTCGCCGCAAAAAAGTAGCGCCGCCCCGGGAGGGGCGGCGCACCACGCTCCGTATAGCCTGCGGTCTAGGCAGTAGCCGCAGCGCCCACGGTTTCGATGATCAATCGGGTGACGGTGTAGGGGTCGCAGTTGGCGTTGGGCCGCCGGTCTTCGATGTAGCCCTTGCCGTCCCGTGCCACCTGCCACGGAATCCGAACCGAAGCGCCCCGGTCGGACACGCCGTAACGGAATTCCCGGTAGGAGCAGGTCTCGTGCAGTCCGGTCAGCCGCTCCTCAATCCGGTGCCCGTAGTTGACGATGTGGAGATCGTGGCGGGTCTGGAGGGCTTCCGCCGCGGCGACGCAGGCGTCGTAGTTCTCCCGCATCTGGTTGGTGGAGAAGTTGGTGTGGGCCCCGGCGCCGTTCCAGTCGCCCTTGACCGGCTTGGGGTCCAGGGTGGCGCTGATGCCCTTGCGTCCGTCAACGGTTTCCGTGTCCTCGCCGATGCGATAGAGCAGCCAGCGAGCCAGCCACAGGTGGTCGGCCGCGGTCGGAGCGCCGATGGGACCAATCTGAAACTCCCACTGGGCGGGCATGACCTCGCCGTTGATGCCGGCAAAGGCCAGGCCGGCGTGCAGACAGGCGTCCATGTGCTGCTCCACCAGGGGCCGGCCGAAAACCTCGTCGGAACCGACGCCGCAGTAGTAGCCGCCCTGGGGCGCGGGGAAACCGTTGTCCGGCCAGCCCAACGGCTTGATGCCGTCGAAGAAGGTGTACTCCTGCTCGATACCGAACCAGAAGTCCAGGGCGGAGTATTTTTCCGCAGCAGCGGCGCAGGCGGCCCGGGTGTTGGACGGGTGTGGCGTCATGTCGGTGAGCAGCACTTCACACATCACCAGCTTGTGATCGCCGCCCCGCACCGGGTCGGCGACCATGAGGACCGGGTTGAGCACACAGTCCGAGTTTTCGCCGGGCGCCTGGTTGGTGCTGGAGCCGTCAAAACCCCAAATGGGAGGGGCTTCCCCATCGGGAACGATCTTTGCCTTGGACCGAAGCTTGGCGGTCGGCTCCTGCCCGTCAATCCAGATGTATTCCGCCTTGTAACTCATAACCCAAACCTCAATAAAAAATTTGTGATTCGATTATAGCCGAACTTTTCTGAGTTTTCAGTGCGAGGGTGTGCTCGCGCAGGGCAATCGCGTCTAAATTGAGTTTGGCGGAATAACAGCTGGCGCTGACAGGAAAAGGTATCTCGTTACTCGAAAATGCAGGTGGTGAGCTTTGCGACCGCCCATTTCGACGGTAATCGAGGCTGGCATCGGCGCTCAAACGGTAATAAACCGTGGCCGACATCTGTGATACTAATACTTTGCATCGCTTGTTATGCCGAACACGATAAGACGCGATTGCCCTGTGTGCTCGCGCTGATAATTTGTCACCCGTGCCAAAACCCCGCCGCTGTCCGGTCCGTCGGGTCCTCGCCTTGCGCCAGGTACTTCCCGCGGAGGCGGTCCCAAAGGTACAGCCGGCTCCAGTCGGGCTGCTGCTCGTAGTTCTGGTGTTCGTCAAGGTGAGGGTTGGGGAGAAGCACGGTGATCTGCTGCAGGCCGCCGCCGTTGAAGAGGCGCAAGCCCCAGGATGTGGGCTGGTGGTCGGGGTTCAGGCGGCGGTAGAGCTCGGCGCGGGCGGTGCGGCGCAGGCGGGCCACCTCGGGCGGAGCCGACGCGTGCTCGCCGATGCACAGGTGCAGGTGCCACTCCTCGAAATCGACGGTGAGGTAGCCGTCGAGGAAGCCGATATGGGGTTGGCGCGGCGGCTTGATCTCCCAGACGGCGCCGGGGATCAGCAGGCCCATGCGGATGTTCTCCCACTCGGCGAGGCAGTCGGTGAGAATGCCGTAGAGGGTGTCCTGGTCGGTGGATAGGGGGAAGAGCTCGTAGGTGCCGTCGAGCTGCTGGATGATTTCGCCGCGAGGCAGGGGTTGGGCGGTGGTCATGGCATCGCTCCCGAATTGAACATGGCCGGTAGGTTTCTGAGCGGCACTGTACTACAACCGGGCTAAAGCGTCGGCATCAGTGATAACGCGAACGGATTGCGCTGGCCCGGGTCGCCGGCCATGCCCTCGCCCGCTGGCGCGAATCGCGTGATACTATCAGGCGCACTCGCCGCACACGGGCCGATTTGTCGCGTCGCATCGCGGTCGGCAAGGTATGGCGAGGCGGAACAGCATTGGGTTGCAATGCGCATGATTGAAGAAGGAGAGGGCTGATGCCGGAGATTGAGAACAAGCTGAAAGAACTGGGCTACGAGCTACCCCCGCCCCGTGCGCCGGGAGCCGGGAATATCATCCCCGCGGTGAAGACCGGAAACTTGGTCTTTATGTCGGGCACCGGGCCCGGCATGCCCGGGGGCGGGCTGCTGCACGTCGGCAAGCTGGGCGGCGAGGTAACTGTCGAGCAGGGTTACGATTGCGCCCGGCAGACGATGCTGAACCTGCTGACCAGCCTCAAGCGAGAGATTGGCGACCTGGACAACGTCAGCCGGATCGTCAAGCTGCTGTGCATGGTCAACTCCACGCCGGACTTCGGCGACACGCCCCGAGTGGCCAACGGAGCATCGGACCTTCTGATCAGCCTCTACGGCGACCGGGGACGGCACGCCCGCTCCGCCGTGGGCATGGCCACGCTGCCCGGCGGTATGCCCATCGAGATCGAGATGATCGTCGAGGTCAACGACTAGGCAAGCCTCAACAATTCGACGCGCTGGGTCGCGGTTCGACCTGCGACCCAGCGCGTCCGTGTCCCGGTTGCACGGGTGGGTGATGGAACCGGCGTCAGGCGCTGCGTTCGGCGAATTCGCTCTTCGCGGCCTCGACCAGGGTGACGTCCCGCAGCAGGTCGCTGGCCGTCAGGCTCACGCCTTGGCGACGGACAGCGCGTTGGACAGCGCCAGATCGGTGACCGCCGTGTCGCACATGTCCCGCGTGTGTGACGCCACCGGCGTTTCGCTGACGGCATACCGCAGCTCGAAGGCTGGCATCGCCTGGCTGACGTTGCCGAAATCGGTGGAAGCCCCGCTGCCCGGGCGGCCGGCCACCGGTTCGTCCAACCGGATTCCCAACGCCTGGATGTTGGCGGACACCGCCTGGGCCAGGACCACGTTGGGCTGGACGTTCTCGTAGAACGGGTAGAACTCCTGAACCTCCAGACGCGCGCCGGTCATGGACGCCGCCCCCTCCGCGACCTGGGCCACCTTGCCCACCACCTCGTTGCTCAGGTATTGCCCGTCGCGAGAACGCAGCATGAAGTTGGCGGCGGCGAACTCGGGCACGACGTTGGGCGCGAGGCCCCCGTCGGTGATCACCCCGTGGATGCGCACGTCGTCCCGCAGGTGCTGGCGCAGCGCGTCGATGCCGGTGAACAGGTGGATCACCGCGTTCAGCGCGTTGATGCCCGCTTCGGGCGCGGCGGCGGCGTGGGCAGCCCGGCCGTGGAACATGTAGCGGTAGCCGACCATGGCCAGGCTCCAGCTCTCTCCCTTGGGAGAGGCCGCGGGTATCACGGTGCGGTTGGAGAACGGGTGGGACGACAGGGTGGCGTCCACGCTATCAAAGACCCCGGCCTCCAGCAGGCGTATCTTGCCGCCGCCGCCTTCCTCCGCCGGCGTGCCGATGATTTCCACGCGGCCCGGCAGGTTCGCCGCGTTTGCCTTGAGGCCCAGGGCGGCGCCCATGGCCGCCATCGCGATGAGATTGTGCCCGCAACCGTGGCCGATCTCGGGCAACGCGTCGTATTCCGCCAGCACCGCGATGGTCGGACCCTCGCCGGCCCCGCCGGGAATGGTGGCCCGGAACGCCGTTTCGACGCCGCCAACCCCGCGTTCGACCTTGAGGCTGTGCTTCTCCAGGAATCCGGCCAGGGCGTTGGAGGAATAAAATTCCTGGTAGTTCAATTCGGGATGGGCATGAACGTCTCGCGACAGGTCGAACAACTCGTGCTTCGACGATTCGATAGTTGAGTTGGAACTCGCGGCGAGCGCGTCGTCGGATCCGGAATCTCGGCTGGTCATGATATGAGCCCTCCTCTTTGGTGAAGGGTTGGGATGGGTGGCTCGGTCGGCGCGATTGGCAGTTCGGGACGTCGCGCGGATTGGCGCGCTCTGCCCACGGATCACGCCCTCATTTCCGGCATTCTACAAGCATTCGGCGGGAGCGTGCATGACCGCATGGATGATATGCTTGATTCCGCGCGAGGTGAACACGTTTTGAACGACTGCTACAACAACAACATACGCAACCTGGCCATCATAGCCCACGTCGACCACGGCAAAACCACCCTGGTCGACGCGCTGCTGAAGCAGGGCCAGGTTTTTCAGGCCCACCAACAGGTGGGTGAACTGATCATGGACACCAACCCGCTGGAGCGCGAACGGGGCATCACCATCCTGGCCAAGAACGCGTCGGTCTCCTATCGCGGTGTCAAGATCAACATCATCGATACGCCAGGCCATGCGGACTTCAGCGGCGAGGTGGAGCGGGTGATGAACATGGCCGACGGCTGCCTGCTGCTGGTCGACGCCGTTGACGGCCCCATGCCCCAGACCACCTACGTCCTCCGCCAGGCGCTGCAGCAGAACGTTGCGCCCATGGTGGTCATCAACAAGATCGACCGCCCGGAGGCGCGCGCCGAAGAGGTGCTCGGACTGGTTCAAGATTTGTTCCTGGAGCTGGCCACCGACGCGGACCAGCTGGACTTCCCGGTGCTGTACACCTCTGCGAAGCAGGCTACGCGACCGTCGACCCGGGCCAGCCCGGCACGGATATGCAGCCGCTGTTTGACGCCATGCTGGATTCGGTTACGCCTCCGACCGGGGACCCCGACGCTCCGGTGCAGATGCTGGTAGCCGCGTTGGACTACGATAACTACCTGGGTCAGGTGGCCGTGGGCCGCGTCACCAACGGCACGCTGCGACTGAGAGAGAACGTGACGCTGGTGACCCGGGACGGGGAAGAAACGACGCATAGCCTGGAGCGAATCTTCGTGTTCCACGGCATGGAGCGTGTCGAGGTTTCAGAAGCCCACGCCGGGGACATCGTGGCGGTGACCGGTCCCGAGGGCGTCGCCATCGGAGACACCCTCGCCAGCGCGGAAGACCCCCAAGCCCTGCCCACCATAGACATCCAGGAGCCCACGGTCCGCATGACCTTCGGCGTCAGCACTTCCCCGTTCGTGGGTCGTGAGGGCGGGCGCTGCACCTCGCGAAACCTCTACGAACGGCTAATTCGCGAGCTGCGCACCAACGTGAGCCTGCGGGTGGAGACCACCACCAGCCCGGATATTTTCGTGGTGGCGGGCCGAGGCGAGCTGCACCTGTCGATCCTGGTCGAGACCATGCGCCGCGAACAGTTTGAGTTTCAGGTTTCCCGGCCGGTGCCGGTGACCAAAACTGTTGACGGCAAGACGCACGAGCCCTACGAGATCCTGACCATCAACACGCGTGAAGAGTACGTCGGGGTGCTTACCGAATATCTTGCCGCCCACCTGGGCCAACTACTCGACATGCGCTACGGCGAAAACGGCTACGTGCACCTGGAGTACAAGATACCGACCCGCGGCCTGATCGGTTTCAACGCGTTTTTCCTCCGCACCGCCAGGGGCGACGGCGTGAAGAACAGCAGCTTCACATCCTACGAGTTGATGGATGGAGATATCAAAAATCTGCGCGGCGGCGCGCTGGTGGCCTCGGAGGGCGGCGCGGCCGTCACCTATGGCCTGATCAACGCCCAGCGTCGAGGCGACACCTTCATCGATCCCGGCACCCCGGTGTATGAGGGTATGGTGGTGGGCAGTCGCCGCCAGGATGGCGACATCGAGATCAACGTCTGCAAGGAAAAGAAGCTGACCAACATGCGCTCGTCAACGGCCGACGTCGCCCAGCGATTGAACGCCACGATACGCATGAGCCTGGAAGAAGCCCTGGAGTTCATTTCCGACGACGAGCTGGTGGAGGTCACGCCTCAGAACCTCCGGCTGCGAAAGATGGAACTATCCAGCCACGACCGTAAGCGCCAACGGCGCGATGGAGCGCGGGCCCGCGGCTGAGCCCGGCGTCAGCCGCCGACGAAACGGTCCCCAAAGGTGGCCGCCACGGAAGGCTCGCCATCGAGTACCGCCAGCCGGCGCGCGGCCACGGCGTCGTGTGGCGTGAGCCGCCCGTACAGGATCAGGACGCAGGCCTCGCCGTCGCACTGGAATGTCACGTCCGCCTGTTCCTGCGGCGCATTGGCCGGCGCGCCTTGGACGATCTGGGCCTCCTCGTCGCTGAGGACCAGGTCGAACCCTCGCTCCAGCGGTAGGTTGATCCGGAAGCGGTAGCGCAGAGGCCGCCCGGCCAGCAACGGGTCGGGGCGGAAGGCGCGGCGAACGGCCCGGTCCACGGTGTCCAGGAGAGCCGTTACGCTGCCGTCCGACAGGTGGTAGTCGTCCTCCAGCCGGGAACGTATATCCCACCCGTGCATGGTCAGCTCGGCGATGCGTTGGGTCAGGAGGGTTTCCACTGGCATGGGGCCGGGAGGCCAATAGACCAGGTTGTCCCACTGGTCAGGCTCCACCCGCCGGAACAGCGCCACGGTCTCGTTGATGCGCTTGGTAAAGTCGTCGAGCAATTCGTTGCCCAACCGCTGGCTGGCGTCGATGGCGCGTTGGTAGATGCTGCGGGCGAAGGTATCCTCGTCGTGCTGCGCCGGATCGGGAGAACCCTCCGGCGGGGCATAGTCCCCGTCCAGGCCTCGCAGCAGGCGGGTCGACAAGTCCACGCTGGTCAGGTGGCCGATGACGTCGGAGACGGTCCAGCCTTCGCAGGCGCTGTCGGCTGCCCAGGCCTCCCGGGGTAGGTCTCCGAGGAAGTCGAGCAGCAATCGCGCTTCGCGTTCGAGCAGGTCGATGTGGCTGGCCAGTGCAGTCATGTTGCGCTCCGATGACAGGATACGATGGGGTTTGAGGGCTGGCGCCGGTGGGGGAGTGCCCAGCGAAAGTCCCTGCGTTGACCTCAATATACCGCCAATGACGGTTGGTGGTCATTAATCGCGCGTCTACCTGCAACGGATCGGATGTTGTCCGCAGTGATCAACACCGGCGGCCGAGAGCATCGGGGCGTCGCTCGATCCGATCCGGATGGCGGTGGCAATCAGCGGGTCGTCGGCATTCCTGTCGCCCATTGGCCACCAGTCGAACACCATCGTGATGGGGTCCGGTGGATACCGGTTCGCGGACTATCTGAGAATGGGCCTGCCGCTGGTGGCCGTAATGGTACTGATCTGCATCCCCGCTATCATGTGGGTGTGGCCCATGGGCATCTAGCGCGCCGCAGTGGGACAATGACGCCCGTGTTCGGCAGAGGTGATTATGGTTGACCGGCAGTTTCTGACAGGGTTACCGGATGAGGAATATAATGGGCAGGACGACACCAGCCTGAACGTCGATCACCTGAAGGCAGCATGGAAATAATCGGCTCCAACCTGCGCACCGGCGACCGGGATTTCCTGGATAACCAGGCACGCATGGAGTCCCTGGTCGATGACCTCAAAGAGCGGCTGGGTCAGGCGCGGGCCGGCGGCGGACAGCGCGCCGTGGACCTGCACCGCAGCCGCGGCAAAATGCTGGCCCGCGAGCGGATCGACGGGTTGGTGGATGCCAACACTCCCTTCCTCGAGCTCAGTCCTCTGGCAGCGTGGGATATGTACGACGGCGAGGAAGCGTCCGCCGGTATCGTGACCGGCGTCGGCGTGGTGCAGGGCAAGGAGGTGGTGATACTCGCCAACGACGCCACGGTCAAGGGCGGCACCTACTACCCGATAACCGTTAAAAAGCACCTGCGCGCCCAGGAGATTGCCCTGGAAAACCACCTGCCCTGCATCTACCTGGTGGATTCCGGAGGCGCGTATCTGCCGCTGCAAGCGGAGGTGTTTCCCGACCGCGACCACTTCGGGCGTATCTTCTACAACCAGGCACAGATGTCAGCTCTGGGCATTCCCCAGGTGGCGGTGGTCATGGGGTCGTGCACCGCCGGCGGGGCGTACATTCCGGCAATGAGCGACGAGGTGGTGATGGTGCGGCAACAGGGCACCATCTTTCTCGGCGGGCCTCCGCTGGTGCGGGCGGCCACCGGCGAGGAGGTGGATCCGGAAACCCTGGGCGGGTCCGAGGTGCACACCCGCGTATCCGGTGTGGCCGACCACCAGGCCGCCGACGATGCGGACGCCCTGGCCATCACCCGCGACATCGTCGAAAACTTCGTGCGACGCCGCAACCCGCCCTTCGAAGTTTCCAACCCCGAGCCTCCCGCTTACGATCCCATGGAGCTTTACGGCATAGTGTCTCCGGACAACCGGCGGCAGTACGACGTCCGCCAGGTGATCGCCCGCATCGTGGACGGGAGCCGCTTCCACGAGTTCAAGGCCGAGTACGGGGAAACCCTGGTCTGCGGCTTCTCGCGCATTTGGGGTTATCCGGTGGGTGTGGTCGCCAACAACGGGGTACTCTTTTCGGAGAGTGCGCTGAAGGGGACGCACTTCATAGAGCTATGCAGCCAGCGCGGCATCCCGCTGTTGTTCCTGCAGAACATCACCGGATTCATGGTAGGCAGCCGGTACGAGGCTGGCGGCATCGCCAAGGACGGGGCCAAGATGGTCATGGCAGTGTCCAACGCCGCCGTCCCCAAGTTCACCGTGATCATCGGCAGTTCCTTCGGAGCCGGCAACTACGGAATGTGCGGGCGAGCCTACCAACCCCGCTTCCTGTGGACGTGGCCCAACGCACGCATTTCGGTGATGGGCGGGCAGCAGGCAGCGGAAGTCCTGGCCACCATCAGGCTGCAGCAACTGGAGCGTCAGGGTCGGACGTTGGAGCAGGAGGAACGCGACGAGTTGCAACGGCCCATCCTGGAAAAGTATGAAGCCGAGGGAGATCCCTATTACAGCACCGCCCGACTATGGGACGACGGCATCATCGACCCGGTGGACACCCGCACCGTAGTTGGCCTGGGGATCGCCGCTTCAATGAACGCCCCCTTCCCGGAGCAGAAGCGGGGCGTGTTCCGAATGTGAAGCCCGGCTTTTTGGCCGCTATTGTAATATTACAGCGACGATTTTCAGGCTGGTTCTCTGGCGTTGCCGTGAGGCGAACACGAGCTGCACTCTTCGGATGACCGCGGCGTGATATCTGACGAGCAACATCCGGCACGATTTCTCATAATCGCAGTTGTGATACCAGGTTGGTGAGATTTGTTTTGAACCACAGCGCAAGATTTGGTGAAATTGTGGAGGCGGCATGGCGAACGTTCAGACGCGCGGATGCTTTGCCGTCGCGGGTCAACCCGGCAATCCCGATATTGTTTTTCGGCGACCTTGACGCGTGCCTGTCCTCAGAGCTGCGCGTCCTGACGGTCGGACTGAATCCGTCGCTGCATGAGTTCCCGGAGGATTCACCTTTCCTGCGCTTCCCTGACGCTGAGAGCGGGGCACCGCACGAACCGGAGTGTTACCTGAAGACGCTCTCAAACTACTTTCATACTTGTCCATACCGCCGATGGTTCAGCGGTTTCGAGCATATGCTCGGTGGCATGGATGTGAGCTACTACCATGGCAATCCCGCGACGGCGCTCCATGGCGACATTTGCTCTCCCGTTGCCACCAACCCGACATGGAACGATCTCGACTCTAACGCGCGAGCAACACTCGAGCAGGATGGCGGCCCACTGTGGCATGACCTGGTGAAGGTTCTGCAGCCGCATATCGTGACGCTGTCCGTTGCCCGACGCCATCTACGTCGCATCAAATTCAGCCCGATAACCGATCAGGCGGACCTCCATGTCTTCGAGTCAACGACAGAACGTAAGCTTCGCACACGCCCGGTAAGGGTTTGCGCTCGATGGTACGAGGTCAACGGCGAGCCGTCACTTTTCGTCTCCATTCCGGCAGCGCAGACACCCTTGGGCGGTCTGAGCCACGAACAAAAGCGGGAAGCGGGGCAGCTAGCGCTTGAGGCATTCCATCATGGTCCATAACCGGTTGTCGCTCCCGCTCCAACATTCCTGGCAATAGCCGGCTTTTTCCGAGATCAGGAATCGTAGATCGGATTAACCGGAATCTGAGCCGCTCCGGTGAACCGCCACTGTAATAAAAGGGTCTTGCCCAGGGCACTTGCTGATGTTCTCCAAAGTTCTGGTAGCCAACCGGGGCGAAATCGCGGTCAGGATCAACCAGACGCTTCGCGCCCTGGGAATCGCCCCGGTGGCGGTCCATTCCGATGCTGATGCCGGCGCTCCTCATGTGACCACGGCAGAGCAAGCCGTGGCCCTGCCGGGCAACACCGCTGAAGAGACCTACCTGAACATCGGCACAATGGTGCAGGCCGCCCGGGACTGCGGAGCCGATGCCGTGCACCCGGGTTACGGCTTCCTGTCGGAAAATCCGCAGTTCGCCCGGGCCTGCCGGGAGGCGCAGCTGACCTTCATCGGGCCAACCGCGGAGAGCATGGCCGACTTGGGAGACAAGCTCCGTTCCAAGGAGATTGCCCGCCGCGCCGGTGTGCCGGTGGTGCCCAGTTCTCCGGTGTGCCTGCCGGGGGACGCCGCAGCCGAGGAATTCGCGGAGCAATGGGGGTTTCCTCTGCTGGTCAAGGCCGCCGCGGGCGGCGGTGGCCGCGGGATGCGCCTGGTCAAACGGACGACGCGAGTTGGACGCTGATATGGAGGCAGCCGGCCGCGAGGCCCAGGCCGCCTTCGGCGACGGCCGCGTGTTCCTCGAACGATACGTTGCCAACCCGCGTCATGTGGAAGTCCAGGTGCTGGCCGATGGCGCCGGCCACACCATCCACCTCGGCGAGCGGGAATGCAGCATCCAGCGCCGCCACCAGAAGATAATCGAAGAGACTCCATCCCCGGCTCTGACGCCCGACCTGCGCCAGCGCATGGGCGATGCGGCCATCGCCGTGGCTCGGGAGGCGGGATACGTCAACGCCGGGACCGTTGAGTTCCTGCTGGCCCCCCGCAGCGGCGAGTTTTACTTCCTGGAAATGAACGCCCGGCTCCAGGTGGAGCACCCGGTCACCGAGGCCGTGCTCGGGTTGGACATGGTGCAGTGGCAGGTCCGCATTGCCAGCGGGGAACCCCTGACGCTGCAACAGGAGGACATCCAGCCCCGGGGCCACGCCATCGAGTGCCGCATCTATGCCGAAGACCCCTACCGCGACTTCGTCCCGTCCACCGGCACGCTGCTGCGTTGGCGTCCCCCCAGCGGGCCGGGGCTGCGGCTGGACAGCGGTGTGGTTCAGGGCCAGGAAGTTTCCATCTACTACGACCCCATGCTGGCCAAGCTGATCGCCTGGGCGCCGGACCGTGAACTGAGCCGGCGCCGGATGGATGTGGCCCTTTCCCAGTTCCTGGTCCTGGGCGTGGTGACCAACATTCCCCTGTTGCGGTCGGTGCTGGGACACCCGCAGTTTCAGCGGGGACAGTACGACACCGGCTTCCTGGAGTGGAACCCAGCGGTCACCAGGCCAGCCATGACCGATGAATCCCGCATGATGGCCCGGGCGCTGGGGGCGTGGGCGGCAGGCCAACCGGTTGGATCTTTGGCGCCCGTGGTCGGGTCGGATGGCCCGCCCAACGTCAGCCCGTGGCGGTCCGCTGGGGAGCGGAGGCTGCCGTGACCCAGAGCCAGGGCCACGGCCAGGGCCAGATGCGCGAGACGTACCCGGTGCCGGGCGAAGTCTATCGCTACGGGACGGAAGAGCAGGAAGGCCGGTTCACCTTCGTCCTGGAAGACGACGGGCCGGCGGGGTTGGCCGCCGCAATCACGCTCAGCATCCAGTCTTCGCAGACCGGAGACGGGCTGTGTCGCACCGAATCGGGCCGGACGCGCCCCTTCGCTTGGGCTTGGGTGGGCGCGGAGTTGCACCTGTGGCTGGATGGCGACCTGTTCGTGTTCCAACGTCCGGAGACCCGACGGCGCGGCAACAACAATGCCACCGAGGCGTCCGGGGACATTCTGGCTCCCATGCCCGGCGCGGTGTTGGAAGTGCTGGTCGCCGAGGGAGACCGGGTGGAGCAGAACCAGACCGTGGCGCTGATGGAGTCCATGAAAATGGAGCTGGTGATCACGGCGCCCCGGTCCGGCGTGGTGCGTCGCGTGTCGGTGCAGCCGGGCCAACAGGTGGACCGGGGTATGCGCCTCCTGGAGCTGGGTCCCGAGATCGATGCGGAGGGTGATGGCGGAGGGTGATGGCTGACGGCGTCGTGTTTGTCGTCGGCGTTCGCAAGCGTCCCTGCCGTCGACGCCCAACGGCGGCGGTGTTAGGATTTCCGCGACTGCGGTTGCTCCCCAACGCTGGGACGCGCCGACCAAATCGGAGGATCAACTGATGCCAGGGACAGGATTGGACTATTCCGCGCTATTCAACCGGGACCTGCCGGCCCCGGCGACGACGTGGGGCGGTCACCCCAGGTACAACTTCATCGGCGGTCATAGCGACCCGGACATGGTACCCACCGAGGGATTTATCGAGTCGGCCGCCAGGGTGTTCCGCGGCGATCCACGGAAACATTTCCATGTACAACTTTTCGGGTGGCCCGCAGGGCATCCTTCCGTTGCGCGAGTTCCTGGTCGAAAAGCTGGGCGAGCACCGTGGCATCAATACCACGGTTGACGATGTCCTGGTCACGTCCGGCTCCGGCCAGGGGATCGAACTCATCAACGAAATCCTGCTGGAGGAGGGCGACACCGCGATCGTCGAAGCGTTCAGTTTTCCGGCGCCCTGGGCAATCTGAGGCGCAGAAAGGTCAACATCGTGGCATCGACGTGGACCAGGACGGAATGCGTATGGACCACCTGGCGCAGGCGCTGGAAGACCTGCGCAACCGGGGCGTGCGTCCCAAGTACATCTACACCATCCCAACCCTCCAGAACCCCACCGGAACCGTTCTGACGATGGAACGCCGGTTGCGGATGCTGGAATTGAGCGAAGAATATGGCGTCCCCATATTCGAGGATGAGTGCTACGCCGACCTCATATTCGAGGGCGAATACGAGAACGCCATCCGGTCAATGGACGACAGCAACCGGGTGCTGCACATCGGCTCGTTCTCAAAGACCCTGGGCCCCGGTACGCGCCTGGGCTACGTGGTGGCGCCGTGGGACGTGATGAGCCGTCTGCTCTCCCGCAAGAACGACGCCGGCACCGGCGTCATGGACCAGATGATCGTGGGTGATTATTTCACCAACCACTATGAAGACCACATCCTGGAGGTCCGCTCGGCTTTGAAGCGCAAATGCGACACGCTGAGCAGCGCGCTCCGCGAGTCGTTCGGGCCGAGCGTGGAGTTCGAAGTGCCCCGGGGAGGCATGTACCTGTGGGTAAAGCTCCCTGAAGGCGTCGATTCCCGCGAACTGAACGGCCCGGCGCTCCGGGAAGGCATCGCGTTCAACCCCGGACCGGAATGGTCAGCCGACCCCGACGCAGCAGCCAGCTACATTCGGCTCTGCTTTGCTCTGCCGTCCGAGGCGGAGATATGGGAAGGGGTGGAAAAGTTGGCCGACGTATTTCGCAGGGAGGGGGCGGTTGCCTGAATCTGGTGTCTGCTGGATATTGGGGCTTGGTGGAAACTGGTGTCTGCTGGAAACTGGGATCTGGTGGTATCGACGGAAACACCTACGAGTTACCTTCGACGTCGCGAACAAACTCGAGCGTTTTGTTTGCCAGCGTATCGGGAATTTCGACTTTCATGTTGTGCCCAACTCCGTCGAGGAGCTCCAGGCGCGCGTTGGGCATTTCGATCAGCCATCAGTCGCTGAATCTCGACCGGTGTGATGTCGTCCTGTGACGCTCCCAATATCAGGGTCGGCACGGGAATATTCGGAAGCAGCGGTGTGAGGTCTGCCGCAAGTAGACAGCCCTGAAGCGCCAGCACCTCCGGCGCCGCGGTCTTGCCGCCTTCGTCCGCGTACCACTGAATCACTTCGTCAGGCGTGCCCGGGGCAAACCGCTTGTCGGTGTCGGCCAGCAGCCAGGCGCGCGTGCCCTGTTGTTCGAGAATCCCGCGCCACGGCGCCGCGTCCATATTGGCTCCCATCTGGGCCAACTTTGGCGTGGAAGCCACCAGCGTCAGGCTGAGCAAGCGGTCAGGAAAATCATGGGCGAATTGCAGGCTCACGATGCCGCCCGCCGACGCTCCGACCAGATGGGTCTGGCCAATATCCAGTGCGTCCATCACGCGGGCGATGTCGCCAGCCAGATCTGCCAAATCGAACGGTTGGGCGAGACTCTTCAGCGTCCCGGCGTGCCCCCTCATGTCGAAGCGCACCACCGCGTGATGCCGCGCCAGCGTCGGCACCCAGGGTCGCCAGCGGTGCAGATTGCCCCCGGCGGCGTGATGGAGCATCACCGGGGAACGCTGACGCCAGGGGTCCGAAAAATCGTCCACATGATAGTGGAACCGGTCTCCGTTCAAGTCCAGGGTTGGCATTCTTCCTCCGCCTAGATGTCTGCGTATGTGCGCCGCTAACCGGCGGGCCGACCGGCAGATCGTACTATACCCAAGGACAGTCCGGCGCGACGCTCGCAATATTTGACCATCGGTAGACAATTTCGGTGGCGGGGCTCTCCGAAAATGCCAGGCTCAGTTGCGCCGTCAGGTCTATTCAACTCGCATAGCCAGGCAGAACGGGTTGGATCCCCAGGGTGTACCTGGAGAGTTGGCAACATCACCAGTGCCACCGACATCGTGATCCGTGGGTCCCCGGTTCTGCTCCGACCGAGAGTGTGTAGAATGCGCACTGAAACAGTCCGGCTTCGGCCAGAGCAACGCGACGCATTCGCCCGGGGAGGCTAAAATGGCACGATCTCTGATACGGGGCAAACACGTCGTCTGCAAGGTCACCGGGCCCCACTCCGCGGAGGTGGTCGCCGACGGGGCGGTGCTTCAGCAGGATGGAATCATCGAAGCCGTCGGAGACTACCGGGAGTTGAGCCGCCAGCATCCCGACGCCGAGGTCATCGGTTCCGGCAACCATATCGTCATGCCGGGGATGGTTAACGACCATTTCCACGTGGGCCTAACTCCCTTCCAGATGGGGGCGCCCGACCTGCCGCTGGAACTGTGGAGCCTCGCCCGCATCGGCGTCCGGTCGATCGACCCCTACCTGGACCAACTGTATGGCGCGGTCCAGATGATCGAGACCGGGACCACCACGGTGCAGGCGATCCACTCGACCCCTCGCGGGTCCGGGCCGGTGAGCCTGGAGATCGCTGACAAGGTGGTGGGCGCATACCAGGCATCCGGTATGCGGGTGTCCTATGCTCCCTCCGTGGTGGACCAGAACTCGATGGTCGCCGGCCACGGAGGCGGTGAGGCCGACTTTGCCTCTCAAATGCCGGCGGCCCTCGCGGAGCGGTACCGGTCTTTCATGGCACCAGGCTACCGGCCAGTTGACGAGATCATTGCGGTCCTGGATGAGATCTCACGGAAGTATGGCAATGATCAGTACGAACGGGTGCGCGTCACCATGGCCCCGAGCAATGTCCACCGCTGCTCCGACGAGCTGCTCACTGCCATCAAGGAGTTGGCCGGGCGTTACGGCACCGGCATCCACATCCACCTGCAGGAAACGGTCTACCAGAAGCTGTACGGTCACACGGCCTACGGCAAGACCCCCTTGCAGCACCTTCACGACCTGGGTTTCCTCGGTCCCGAAGTGACCTGCGGCCACAGCGTCTGGGCCACCGAGGAGGACCTGAGGTTGATGGCGGCCACCGGCGCCAACATCTGCCACAACGCCAGCTCGAACCTGCGGTTGCAGAGCGGGATAGCGCCCATGGGCCGCATCCTGGCGGCGGGAATCAAGGTGGCCATCGGCAGCGACGAGGCCGGCCTGAACGACGACAAGGACCTGTTCCAGGAGATGCGGGTGGTGCTCAAGCTCCACCGCGTGCCCGGGATCGACCTGGAGCCTCCCACCTCCTACCAGGTACTGGAGATGGCAACGGCCAACGGGGCCTACGCCAGTTGGTTCGGAGACCGGATCGGCGCCCTGGAACCGGGGAAGCGGGCCGACCTGACTCTGGTGGACATGCGAAACATTGAAGAGCCGTACCTGGATCCGCGGGTGTCGGTGGTGGACGCGCTGGTGCACCGGGGACGGGGCATCGACGTGGATACCGTGCTGGTGGACGGCGAAGTTGTGCTCCGGGACGGGCAACTTACCCGCGTGGACAAGGAAGCCCTGTTCCGTGAAATCAAGGCCGCCCTGGATCGCCCCCTGTCCGACCAGGAAGTTGAACGGCGGGATCTGGCACAGCAGGTGGAACCCCATCTGCGACGGTTCTACAGTGGCACGATGCCGCAGGACGCCACTCCCTTCACGACGTACAACGCCCGGTCCTGAGAGCAGCCCTGCACGATGCGATCTCGCGGTCGAACCGACCAGTGCCGTTAGATTATCCCAAATGTCGTTGCGAGTGAAGCGTGGCAATCTCGTTGCCATAGTGCGGGTTCTTGCCGAAAGCGTTTGCTTTGCACCGGGCTCCGGCGTCGCTTCAATCCTTGCCACAACAATCGAATGACCCTGCAAACTGGCACACACGATTGACGCCGCCACAATACCCTCACGAGTGCTAATATCACCCCAGGGACCGAAAACCAAGAACGGAATTTCCCGTACTCACCATCGGCGGCAGGCCGACCGGAGGCGCCTTGGCTATTACAGAGTTGGAAATCACCAATCGCACCAGTTTCGCGTCCGGCCAGCGGTTCGGCGACGCGGGAGCGTATGAGCTTTTGGAGGGGACAGCCCACTACGCGGTGGACCCGCTGCACGAGCGGAATCGGGCAATCACCGATCTGGACCTGGCGCCGCGCAATCCCGCCGGCCTGGTGGAGTTTTCGGCGGACTTCGCCATGCTCCAGCCGGTGAACACCGACCGGGGCAACCGCCGCATCCTGTTCGACGTGGTGAACCGGGGCCGGAAGACCGCCCTGAGCCTGAACAGCGTCGCCACCGCGACCGACCCCACCTCTCCCCTGGAGGCTGGTAACGGCTACTTGATGCGCCGGGGATACACGGTGGTCTGGGGCGGCTGGCAGGCGGACGTGCCGCCCACTCCTGGGCTGATCGGAATGCACGCGCCGGAAGCCATCGGACCCCAGGGCCCTCTCACCGGCAGGATCATGTGCCAGTTCCAGTGCAACGAACCCACGCAGGTCTTCCTGCTGGCCGACCGGCAGCATCTGCCCAATCCCGCCGCCGACCCCGAAGAGGCGGAGGCCACCCTGACGGTGCGGGACCTGCCCAACAGTCCCGCCACCCCCGTTGACCGGAGCCAGTGGTCCTTCGTCCGGGTCGAGGATGCGGACCTGGAGCCGCAGCACAACCACGTCTACATGCCGTCCGGGTTCGAACCGGGGCAAGATTTACCAGTTGGTCTACACCACGACCGGCAGCCGGATCGTGGGACTGGGGTTCGCCGCGATGCGGGACGCGGTCTCGTTCCTGAAGCACGCCCCGGCCTCGGCGGGGAACCCCTGCGCCGGGCTATCGACCACGCCTACGCCATGGGCCGCTCCCAGAGCGGACGCTTCCTCCGCCAGTACATCCACGTCGGCATCAACGAGGACGAAGCGGATCGGCCGGCCCTGGACGGGATCGTCCCGCACGTAGCGGGCGCGATGCGCGGCGAGTTCAACCTGCGCTTCGGACAGCCCTCCAAGGACGTCTGCTACATCATACCCGGAGATGTTCCCCTTCACCGACACTCCGCAGACGGACCCGGTGACCGGCGCCCAGGGTTCCTTGCTGGACGCCCTGGAGCGGCGGGGCACGGTGCCCAAGATCATGTTCACCAACACCTCCGCCGAGTACTGGCGCGGCGACGCCGCCCTGATCCACACCGACCTGGAGACCCTGACCGACGCGGCGGAGTCGCCATCGGTGCGCCGCTACCACTTCGCCGGTTGCCAGCACGGTTCCGGTGACTTTCCTCCGCTGGAAATCCGCACGAATGACGGGATCAAGGGACAGCTTCCTTTCAACAGCGTGGACTACGCTCCCCTGTTGCGGGCGGCGCTGGACAACCTGGACCGCTGGGTTACGTCGGGCGAAGAGCCTCCCGCCAGCCGTCATCCCAGCCTGGACGACAGCACGGCGGTGGAGTCCCATTCGCTGCTGGAACGGTTGGGCCAACTGCCCGGCGTTCGGGTTCCAACCCAGACCACCAGGGCGATCAGGCTGGACTACGGCCCCGAGGCGCACCTGGGGCGCACCGTCAATTTGCCCGCTGACGAGGGCGAAGAGTTTCCCGCGCTGGTGGCTGACCTCGACGAGTCCTTCAACGAGCGCGGCGGCATCCGCCTGCCGGATCTGGCCGTCCCGGTGGCCACCTACACTGGCTGGAACCTGCGTGACGAGAGCATCGGCAACCCCCACCTCTTCATCGGCATCACTGGCGGCCTCGCCGGCTGGACCCTCCCGCTGCCCGCTACCGAAGCCGAGCGCGAGGCCGCCGGTGACCCGCGAGCGTCAATCGAGGAACGCTACGCCGGCCGTGAGGATTACTTGGAACAGGTGACCCACGCCGCGATGGACCTGGTATCCGAAAGGTACCTGCTGCAAGAGGATGTGGACGAGGTGGTGGAACTGGCGGGCCGCAAATACGATTACTGGATGGGTGAAGGAGACAAGTGCTGAAATCGCCTTGGGGGTAGCCCATTTTCACATTTCTTGGAACCGGGCCGCACCCCGTTCGCGGTGAAAGCCCGGCTCACCGTCCGCTCAAAGGAGGACCACCATGCCCTTGCAGCTAGACCACACCATCGTTCCCGCTCACGACAAGGTGAAATCCGCGGAGTTCATCGCCCGCATGTTCGGGCTGAAGTACGAGGGGCCCTGGGGACACTTCGCGCCGGTCAAGGTCAACGACATACTGACGCTGGACTTCGATGACTCCGACAACCCGCGCTCCAATCACTACGCCTTCCTGGCATCTGACGAGGAGTTTGACGGGATCCTGCAGCGGATCAAGGACGAGAGGGTCGTCTTCGGGAGCGGGCCACGCTCGCGGACGGATGGGGAGATCAACCACCTGCACCAGGGGCGTGGGTTCTACTTCGAGTGCGAAAACGGCCACGTCTGGGAGGTTATCACCCACACGTACATCACCGATTAGCGCCGCGTCGGCATGGATTGAGTTGAGGAAACATGGAAGTAGGGCTCTACATACGCGATTACATGGACGACGCCGAGCGGCCCATGCACCAGCAGGTGGAGGAAGCCGCCGAGGTATGCCGCCGCGCCAAATCGCTGGGGTTTTCGGTCATCTACATGCCCCAGCACTACATATCGCATCCCACCGTCTGGATGCAGCCGATGCAAACGCTGGCGCGGTTGGCTCCCGATGCCGAGGGCTTGAAGCTTCTGACCGGTATTCTGCTGCTTCCCTACCACAACCCGGTGGACATCGCCGAGCAGGCGGTAACGCTGGACCACATCAGCAACGGGCGCTTTATTCTCGGAGTAGGCTTGGGTTACCGGGTAGCGGAGCTTGCGGCGTTCGGGACCAACCGCCGGGACCGGGTCAGCCGATTCGAGGAGTCAATCGAGTTGATGAAGCTGCTGTGGAGCGGGGAGGAGGTCAACTACGATGGGAAGCACTGGCAAGTGCATGACGCCAGGCTGTCCTTGGCCCCGGCGCAGGAGCCGCATCCTCCGATCTGGATTGCGGCGCAGAGCCGGGGAGCGGTGCGCCGTGCCGCGGCCCTCGGCGACCGGGTTATCCTGGGACCGCAGCCGGGATGGAAGGACATTAGCGTCCTGACCCGCCAGTACAAAGGGGCGCTGGAAGAGCTGGGCAAAGACCCAGCCGGGCGTATCGGCGCCCACCGCTCCATCGCCATCGCCAGGGACCGCGAAACGGCCATCACGGAAGCCCGGGAGATGGCCGCCAAGAAAGCCGGCATGTATGGCTCCTTCAACATGCAGGAAAATACCACGGTGGATCTGGGACTCGGAGGGCAGCGGGAGTTGCCGGACTGGGCGGTGGCCGGCAGCCCGCAGGACTGCGCCGAGATCATCAACCGTTGCCGGGAAGAGGACGGATTGGACTACATCGGCCTGGCCAGCCTGAATTTGCCCCGGGAATTTCCCGCCAGGTTGGACTACCTACAGCTGATTTCGGAAGAACTGCTGCCGCACCTGCAATAACGGAGAGCAGTTGTCGCGCCGGCGCGTTTTCTTCGGTCACCGCTGCCCGGCTTCCAAAAACTCGCTTAGCTGCGGAATTGCTCCTCGGATTCCTCAGGCATAGTGGGGCATAACTTCCGACACGAACAACTCCACCGACCGCATGGTCTCCTCATGGGACAGGTGGCCCCACTGAAAGGCGGCTACGAAGTAGTTTGCGCCGGTCTCGAGATATTCGTCCATGTAGTCCCGTATGGAATCCGGTGAGCCGGCGACAACATTGAACCCGCCTCCTCCCGGCGCAGCATGCTCCTCAAGCGCCGCGGAACCGGTCCTGCGCGCCGCCGCGGCACTGCTGGCCTGGGCCTCCCGGTCCGGCAGGTTGGACGGCCTGGCATTGGCGTTCCCGCCGGAGAACTGGGTCAATCCCCGCCTCTCCACTTCCAGTCGGCGCGGCGTGCCCAGGTTCCACTTGTACTGGTCCCACGCCGGTTGGGCTATGGTTGCGGCTTCCGCGTCGGTCTCGGCGACGAACAGATGGTTGACCAACCCAATCTTGGGCGCCTCACCCTGAGCGTTCAGCGCGCCCGGCCCCTGGTGCTCATCCCAAAGCTCGCGGTAGCGATCCACGTTCGACTGAAAGGAGTCCAGGTTCCCGACAATGATGGTGTGCATCCCGTTGACGGCTGCGGTCTCCACATTCCTCATGTACCACAGGGGCGGGTGGGGGTCCTGCTTGGGCCGCAGGCGCATCGGCAGGTCGTCGAAATTATAGAACTCGCCCCGGTAGGTCAGCGATTCGCTGCCCAGTCCTTCCCTGACCACCGCCAGCGTCTCAAGGTACCGGGCATGGTTCACCTCCACGTCGGAGTCCTGCCCCCAGAAGTAGGCTTCGATGATCCCGCCACGCCCCACCCCGATGTCCATCCTCCCGCCGCTGAGGTTGTCCAGCATGCAGATTTCTTCGATCAGGCGGACCGGGTGGTGCAGCGGCAGCACGTAGACGCATGGTCCCAACCGCATGGTCTGTGTCCGCTCGGCCGCGGCCGCCAGGAACACGTTCTGCGACGGCGCCAGACTGTGGACCGCCGGCGTGTGGTGCTCCGCAAGATGGTAGGAGTAGAACCCGGCGGATTCCAACCGCTCTATCTGGTCCAGCCGTTCCCGATAAATTTGGTCCAGCGGTACGCCGGGAATAGGCTCGATGTGGTCGAATACCCCAAACTGCAATGCCATGAATAAGCTTCCTCGTTTAATTCGATGATCTCGCGACTCAATGGTCGCTCTGATGGCCGCAGCAGGCGCGAGCGGAACTTCAGCCAACGTTCAACTCTAGTGTCAACGTTGCTCTCGTGTCAAACGCTTTTCACTTCACGCAGCTTGCACCAGTGAGCCACCGCAATCGCATTCTCCCAAACAACGCAGGACACGCCAAAAGTGTCTGGGGTTCTTCCAGCGTGCAAACCGTGGCATCGCCGGTTATTCGAGCAACATTCGTGGTCAGGAAGACGGCGCGCGGGCGCTCCTGGTGATGGGATCGAACGTGGCGGTGTCTGCGCCGCATCTCAACAACGTGGTTGAAAGGCTGCGCTCTCTGGATTTCCTGATGGTGTCGGATTTCTTCCTGTCGGAGGCCACGGCTCTCGCCGACGTGGTGCTGCCGTCTGCTCAATGGGCGGAAGAGGAGGGCACCATGACCAACCTGGAGGGGCGGGGCATTCGCCGGCGCAAAGCGTGCGAGCCTCCGGCCGGCGTGATTGACGATGTCGCCGTCATCTGCGAACTGGCCAGACGGCTGGGCCAAGGCGCCCATTTTGAGTACCGGAACGTCGAGCAGGGTTTCAGGAGCTGAGGCGCGTCGGCCGGGGGCCCCGCCGATTGGGCCGGCATCCGATGGCGTGTTCTGGCCTTGCCCGGAGGCGGACCCCCCGGGCACGCCATGTCTGTTTATCGACGGTTTCCCCACGGCCAGCGGCAGGGCGCGGATGTTTGCCGTGCGCCACCAGGAACCCGCGGAATCGCCGGCCGGCGAATACCCCAGTACCTCACCACGGTACGGAACCTTCCCCAGTATCAGTCCGGCACCCAGACGCGGCGCATCTCCGAGCTGACGGAAATCAGCCCGGCGCCCGTAGTGGAGGTACATCCCGCCACTGCCTGACAGTGGAGCTTGTTGGACGGGGCGGCCGTGCGCCTGACCACTCGGAGGGGTACGCCGACTTCCGCCTCAAGGTGTCGCGCGGGATACGGGAGGACACCGTATTCGTCCCCTTGCATTGGGGAGGCCGACGGGCGGCCAAGCGGCTGACCAACCCGGCGCTGGACCCAACCAGCCGAATGCCGGAGTTCAAGGTCTGCGCGGTGCGCAACGAGAGTCTGGTGGCGGCGGACGCCGCCGAGAAACCAACCGGCGGGAACTCCAGCACAACAACGGAGCGGTGATCGTCATGAACACGTCAAAAAGCAGCAACTGGTGGTGATCGTCAACGGCATGGCCGGCGCCCGATTCGTGGAGGAAGTGGTGGGTCTGGGCGGCCAGGACATATTCGACATCACCATCATCGGGGAGGAATCCTGCGGCAACTACAACCGGATCCTGCTCTCCGATGTGTTTTCGGGTTCCCACGACGCGGACAACATCTTCATCAATCCGCTAGAGTGATACGCCGAGAACGAGGTGACCCTGCACGCCAGCGTACGCGCCATCGGCATCGACCTCAAAGGCAAAATGGCCTACGGGTCCGGAGGACTCCTCCTGCCCGATGACAAACTGGTCATTGCCACGGGAAGTACTCAGTCAAACCTGTATCGACAGATACGGCGGGAGGTGAGCCGGAGTGGCTACGCTGAGTTGCAATCAGCAGTGGGGGAGGTGCGACATCCATGGTTCGGGAGAAGTACGGGGTACAGTTGACGGTGGAGGAGCGGAGCAGGGCTCCGACAATTGATCCGAAGCGGCCAGCGTTCCGCACGGGTAATCACTCGGGCGCGCATCTTGCTCAGGACTGACGAAGGATGGAGCGCGAGCCAGGTGGTGGCAGCGCTGGACACGTCGCAGCGGACGGTGTTCCGCACCAAACGGCGGTATGCCCAGGAGGGACTGGACGGCGTGTTGCACGACCATCCCCAAGCCAACCGGTATCGTAAGCTGGACGACAAAGGTGAAGCCTATCTGATCGCGCTGGCGTGCAGCGATGCGCCCGAGGGCCATGACCACTGGACCCTGCGGCTGCTGGCCGACCAGGCGGTGGAGTTGAGGTTGGTGGAGTCGTTGTCCCACGAGACGGTGCGTCTGCGGATGAAAAAAACATCCTCCAGCCGTGGCGGAAGCAGCAGTGGTGCATTCCCAAGGTGAACGGAGAGTTCGTGGCGGCAATGGAGGACGTGTTGGACCTCTACGCCGAACCCTACGACCCAAACCGGCCGGTGGTGTGCTTCGACGAGACCTCCACCCAACTGCTGGCCGATACCCGACCGCCGCTGCCCGCCCAACCGGGACGACCCCGGCGTCAGGACTACGAGTACCGGCGCGGCGGCACCCGCAACATCTTCCTGACCTGTGAGCCCCTGGCCGGTTGGCTCCACATCGCCATCACCGAACGCCGTACCCTGCAGGACTTCGCTCACCAGATGCGGTGGTTAGTGGATGTCGCCTATCCCCGCGCTCCAGTGGTACGGGTGGTGCTCGACAATCTGAACACCCACCGCATGGCGTCCCTTTACGAGACCGTCCCCGCCGCTGAGGCTCGGCGCATCGTGAAACGCCTCGAGTTTCACCACACTCCCAAACACGCCAGCTGGCTGAATATGGCGGAGATTGAATTCAGCGTGTTGACCCGGGCTTGTCTCCAGGGGCGCAATCCCGACAAACTTGCCCTGCAACGGGCCACCGGCATCTATGAGACTGAGCGTAACGCTAGGAAAGCCACCATCGACTGGCGGTTCAGCAGCCAGGACGCCCGAACCAAACTGCAGCGGTTTTATCCCTGCCACTCCAATGTTGACTGAATACTAGGCTACACGGATGCTCTGCTCATCGTGGGGATGACGATTATAGTCGTCTCCGCCCTGGTACTGGTGGTGCGGTTCCCGCCCGAAACTGAGCGGGCGGAGAAGCACGCCATAGACCTCGCGCTGGCCGACCGGGCCGGTTTGGCGTCGTCAGCCGCTGACTAGCGGCCGGCTCTCGGCCCCAAAGCCAGGCCAAACCTCGACCGATACAGGTTGAGTCAGAGCGCCGTTGAGTTGTCACGCAGCAGCCAAAATTGACATCCCATCGACCGGAACCAGCGCATGGTACAACGGCCCGTCAGCGCGGAACCCTCCTCGCGGCAAAAAGTCCGGACACCCGTCCGTGGCTTACTGGCCCTCCCGTCAGTGAGCAATCCACTGGTCATGCAGTCGGCTCGGTGTGCGTATGTCTAACGCCGGGAGATCGTCAACGCCATCCACTGCGTGCTGCTCGCCAGGTGCTCCTGGCGGAGCCGCTCCATCTTAATGTTCCAACCCCTCTACAGCGTAAGCAATAGAGGCCGGACTCTCCAGGGTCCGCCACGAGTACCGAGAAAACGCCGGCCAGCCCGAACCGATTTGTCGAACGCCCGTGCATTCTGCGCTAGGGGACAGTTCGGGTTACCCCAATATTTATCGGCTTCCGACCGCCGTCGCGCTCAAATCGCGAATCGCCTCCACAGTTTCCTGGCTGGCCGGCTTGCCCATTGCGACGTCCTTGACCGCTTCCCAGGACCGCAACACATCCGCCATAACCGCTTCGTCCGACTGGTCAATGTCGATGGGGATGCCCACCTGGGCCCATGACGTATGGCCGGTGAGCCAGAACACCTCGGTGGGGTTGTTCTCCGGATCCCGGAAGTAGCAGCCGATAGCGCTCGCGTGAGTGACGATGCGGTCCAGCTTGTACCCGTGTGCCAGGATGCGACCCTTGAAGTCGCGGAGATCATCGAGGGACTCCACACGCATCGAGATCTGCTGGATCCATTGCGGGTCCTCCAGCGAGGCGCGCCCGTTGATCAGGGCGATCTCGTGGTCGCAGCTCTCCGGATCGGCGCTGAAAAAAGCGCCCAGCGGACCGACCTTGGTCAGCGTCATGCCCATGAAATTCGCATAGAAGTTCATCATGAGTTCAAGGTCTTGAACGTAGAAACCGATATGGCCTAGCCCGGTGACTTTCGCCGACATCTTCATCTCCTCCGAATGCGACTGTGACCAATGATTATGCCTTTTTCCCTGCTTCGATGTCGACCCGAAGGACGGGGACGGATCGCAGCGCCGACGGCGAACCTGCCGGCAAGAAGGGTCAATCAGTCGGTCAGCAGGATGTAGACCGCGGCCGATGGGGTCAGGTCGTTGTGCGAATGGCCCTTGCCGGTGGTGTCCTCCATCAGCCGAATATCGCCGGCTCGGAGCACCCGTTTCGCGCCGTCGCTGGCCCCGATCTCCACTTCACCGGACAGATGGATGATCAGACGGCGCTCGGGCAGGGGATGAAAGTCCATGTGACGTGACCCGTCAAACTCCTGCACCCGCACCTCGGACAAATTGATCAGCGCCCCCAGTTCCGGATGCTCCTCCAGTTTCAGGTCCTCGATGTGGCTCTCGCCGTCCGTGTCCGAAAATACCCGATATATCGCCATTTCGCCCCCGGTATGTTGGTGTAGATTTCGCAGATTGTTCGCGTGATTCCAGCGCCGCCAATATCGCCACAACGCTTTCTATCCTCGCATACCGAAATACGTCGGGTTTCGAGAAAGTAGCCGGAGGGTCCGCAACTCTATCGCCGGTCCGGGATCGCCGTGATTATCCCACGATCCTCGCCTGCGGCGACTGGTTTTGAATGGGCAATCCGTGCTGTTCGCAACGGCCGGCGCGTGATTTGGCGTGCGAACCGGCCAACGTCCCCAACACTCAAAACCAACCGCGCCCTTGTCCCGCGTCAACCATATTTGCTGAAACCTGTTGCCTCGCCAGAGATTGTTGCCGAAAAATCAGCACTTGGGGTCGTTCCCGATCGAGGCGGCTTCCGGTATTCCGTGGAGGTCCGGCAGAGTTGCTTCAGACGCCGCGTAGACCAACTCGTTCGCCATGATGCCTCCCGACTGCTGCATCCTCCGCTGCGACATTCGCAGATGCGCCCGGCTGAAACGGCCCGGGTCGCTATCCTGCAGTCGGCCCAGCAGTGCCACCGCGCTAGCGTCGGGATCCTCCTGCAACCAACCCAGCAAGTCGCACCACACTCCCTCAAACGGGTCCTTCCCTGGACTTTACGCATTTTTAGAAAAAGTATAAGGGCAGAGTAAGCTGTTCCGTCCCTAATGTCACAAAAGGCCCAGCCATGCTCACCTCGCCCGATGCCATTGTAGCCGTTCGCGTTCCCTGCGCAACGCTGTTTAGCAACCCGACCTAGCGCAAAGCCCAGGTGCTATTGGTGGGCGCGATACTGGTGCCGGGCCAACGCACGATGGCCGCGGCGTTGCGGGTCATGGGCCGCAGCGATGATGGCGACTACGCCCGCTACCATAAGGTGGCCTCGGTCGCTCGTATGCGCAAACTGCTCGTCATCCTCAACGCCATCCTCAAGCATCGCTCACCCTGGGGCGACATGAGCTCGACATTCCCGACCCTTTCCTCTTGACATCGAAGACAGTTGCTCCCGGTACACCATCTCTCCACCTCATGATCAAAGTGCGGCAATGGTCGCCGATGCGGCTCCCAGAGTGGCCCAATGCTCCTGCAAATCTGGCCGGCCTGATGACACTGTAAATTTCTGTTGCTGGACTGAAGTCTCGGTAGATTGACCCGCTAACCGTGGGCGCCGGTGGCCGACGCATCGGTCGCCAGATCTCCGCCGCAGTGGGGACAAACCCCGGTCGGCTGGTTGGCGCCGCCGGCCCCATCAGCTGCGTTAGCCTCCATCATGGCGGCGCTCAGAATACCCGCCGGCAGGGCGAACAGACCGATGCCCAACACCGCAATCACCGCCGCCAGCAGCCGCCCCATGCCGGTCACCGGCACGTAGTCGCCATACCCCACGGTGGTTAGGGTGACTACGCTCCACCACATGGCTGCGGGAATGCTGCTGAAAACCTCCGGCTGGGCCGCCGATTCGGCGAAATACATCAGCGCGGCGGCGATGACCAACACCACCAGCAACCCCGCCACTGCGGTGAGCAGCTGACCGCCCTTCAGTCGCAGGGCTATCCCCAATCGACGCCCGCCCGGGAAGTAACGCGCCAGCTTGGCGGAGCGGGTCAGCAGCCGCACTGCCAGCAGGAAGGAAAGGCTAAGGCTGTCGCCAGAGATCAGCAGTACGAAGATGGATACCACCGACGGGAGAATCGCGGCAGCGTCAACCAGTCCGGTCGGCGACAACACGAAGCGTAGACGCTGACGCCATGGGTTCCCGGCCGCGTGAGCCTCAGGAGCCGCCCAGAAGCGCAGCCCGTATTCCACTAAAAACACTGCCACGGTGGAATACTCCACCAGGTGAAACCAGATGGAATAGGCATTTTTCAGACTGGGTACTGTCCAGAGGATCAACGACAGGGTGTTGATCAGGATTACGACTACCAGAAATATCTCCGGTATGACGGAACCGCGCAGATGCGGACCATCGCCGGCGCCACCTTGCCGAAGGAAGTCCGGGGCTTCCAACACGGCGTACACTCTACCGCGTAGACCGGTCGGGCTGGCCGTGCCACTGTCGGCATTCGTTGTCGTATCCATCTGTTACCATCCTTTACTGGCGAACCCGGTTATCGAGTTGGTGCCGGTCGTCGGGGCCACCGTACAATTTTGCACCCCGACGCGGCAATTCCGCCGTAATTTAAACACTGTCAACAAACTGTGTCGGTGTATGGGCGATCAGCTTCATTGCCGGTAACAAGGCGATCAGTTGAGCTGACGACAAATGAACGCTGCCACAGGATGGTCTGAACGAATGGGTGCCGTCGTCTCCGGTAACGTGCCGTTGGAAACTCCCGCATTCATCTACGACGAGGCGGGCATTGCCCGGTTGCTGGGGAAGGCGACAGAAATCCGGGATGCCAGCGGTTGCCGGTTGCTCTTCGCCGTAAAGTCCTTCTGCTTCCGCGACGTACTGGAGTTGATGGCCCCGCATTTGGACGGATTCGCGGTCAGTTCTCTCTTTGAGGCGATGCTGGCGCGGTCGGTTCTGGGCGACCGTGGCACAGTGCATTTCACCGCGCCCGGGCTGCGGCATCAGGATGCAGCGGACCTGGGTCAGCTTTGCGATCACGTTGCATTTAACTCTGTCAACCAGTGGCGCACGTTTCGGGACACCCTGGGGACGCAGGTCAGTTGCGGCCTGCGAGTGAACCCTGAACTGTCTTTCATCGGTGATCCCCGTTATGACCCGTGCCGGCCCAGTTCCCGGCTGGGCGAGCCGCTGGCGACGGTGGCCGAGGTCCTTGACGAGCCGGATTCCGTCTCGGGCCTGTTGCTCCACTCCAACTGCGATGCTACCGACTTCGGCCAGCTGGAAGCAACGGTCGACCGAATGCGCCGCCGGCTGGGGCGCCGATTGGAGGACGGCCGGCTGCGGTGGGTCAACCTGGGAGGCGGCTACCTGCTTGAAGATGAACCCGATGGCGAGGCCCCTGACATGACACCGTTGTACCGCACCCTGGAATTTCTGCAACGGCAATGCGGCTTGGAGACGATCATAGAACCGGGGGCGGCCTTGATACGCGCGGCCGGCTATCTCGTAGCCACGGTGTTGGAACTCCAGATACGGGACGGCCACCGAACGGCGCTCCTGGACACTACGGTGAACCATATGCCGGAAGTTTTCGAGTATCAGTATGAACCGGACGTCCTGGGACACCGGGACGACGGCGAATGGGCCTGCACGCTGGCTGGATGTACCTGCCTCGCCGGAGACGTCTTTGGGGAGTACCGCTTTGACCGTCCCCTGGCGGTGGGGCGACCGGGTGGCGTTTCTCAACATGGGCGCCTACACCCTCGTCAAGGCCCATATGTTTAACGGCGTCGCCCTACCGACGATTTACGCCCTTACCTCGAACGGCGATCTGCTTCTGAAGCGAGGATACACCTACGCCGATTTCGCAGCACGATGGGGAGGATGAGCTACGTCATGGCGACTGCGGAACTGTACGAACGCGAGCTGATTGTCCCCGCGACCACGTCGAACACAAACCTGCGCCGGCGGTTGTGTCAAGCCGTGACACAGCAACTGCAACCGGGCGAGGTTCCTATCCGGCTGGCCGTGACGGGCCGGGTGCGGATCCCGGGTTCCAATCAAGAGGGGCACCACTGCGAAATCGGTCTGCTGCGCTCGTTGGACAGCAATCACCGCTCCGCGTCCATTTTCCGCCTGGACCGCCGGCCTGTGGAAAACGCCCAGCAGTTCAACGCGGTTCTTCTGGTGCCGACCGGAGTAGGGGCGGAGATCGGCGGCCACGCCGGGGATGCGATGCCAGTGGCCGCCCTGCTGGCCTCGGTCTGCGACACGCTGATCACCCATCCCAACGTGGTGAACGCATCGGACGTCATTGAGATGCCGGCCAACTCCCTGTACGTTGAGGGCAGCGTCATCGCCCGGCTGCTGCTTGGCCAGGTGGGTCTGCAACGGGTCCGCAACAATCGTTTGCTGGTGGTGCTCGGGCCCCATGACGACGAACTGTTCGTCCATGCGGCCATCAACTCAATCAACGCGGCGCGAACGTCCTATGGCCTGTTCCAGCCGCAGGTTCTCCGGCTGGAACAGGGGCCTTGAAATGGACTCCCACTATGCGCGGTCGGGACGGGCCGCCGGTAGGGTGCGGGGGCTGGAGCCCCTGTTTGCGGAATTGGACCGGCGGCGAAACGAATATGACGCGGTGGCCATCACATCGCTGATTGGCGTGCCGTCCGGCTACCACTTCGAGTACTTTGACCGGATGGGCGACATGGTCAACCCATGGGGCGGGGTGGAAGCGATGCTGACCCACGCGGTCTCGGCCCTGTACGACGTGCCGTCGGCCCATGCCCCGATGCTGGAAAGCCGGGAGATTGCCAACGCCGACCCCGGGGTGGTCGATCCTCGTATGGCGGCCGAGGCCGTGTCGCTGGCGATGATCCAGTGCATCCTGAAAGGTCTGCAGCGCAGTCCCCGACTCGTTACCGACCCGGAAGCCCGACGGCACCACAGTGTGTTCAACGCATCCGACGTGTCGTGCCTGGTGATCCCTGACGGATGTGTGGGGTTGCCCACCCTGGCGGCGCTGGAGCAGGGCATCTCCACCATTGCCGTGCGGGAGAACCGCAACCTGATGAGCAACGACCTGACGGAACTGCCGTGGGCCCCGGGTCAGCTACACATCGTGGAGAACTACTGGGAGGCCGCCGGCGTAATGGCGGCGCTACGGGCGGGCGTGGACCCGACCACAGTGCGCCGGCCGCTGGCGGGGGCGCAAGTTACGGGGTTGCGAGAACAGACCGCCAGCATTTGATGGGGCGGCGATGGGCGTATCGTGCGGGGCCCGTCTGCCTACTCGGCCGGCCCGTCAACCGGGCAGCAGGCCGTCGCCGATGAAAATGTGCTCCGCTTCGTCCAGCGTAAGGTCCGTTTCCGGCAGGATCAGATCCGATTCCACCAATTGGTCAAGCGGCAACGGTTCGCCCCGGTCTCGTACCAGCCGGAACATTTCGTCCAGCAGCGATTGGAATTGGGCGCCGTCCTCTGTGGCCACCGCCTCCACCATGCGGTTGTCAATGTCGTTCAGGTCATCGATGACCGACCCGGGTAGGTTGAATTGCCCTTCGCCAAGTATCCGTACTATCAAATTCAGCGCTCCAGTATTGTGCGACGGAGTGGGGTGGCAACCACAGGATTCGGCGGATTTGCCTTGCCGTATCCGTGGTCAGGCGCTCCCCCCGCTGGGCGGGGCCGCCGCGCTGTTGTTTTTCAGCGCGGCGAGTTCAGCCTCCACGCTGCTGGAAGTCGAAATCTGCGCCAGTTCCCGGTCGATGTCATCCCGGGGGCCAGTGATGTCGTCCAGCACGCCGGAGGCAACCAGTTCGTCGATGGCGCCGGCCTTGGCCCGCATCTGGTCCGTCTTGTTCTCGGCGCGCTGCACCGCCATCGAAACGTCTCCCATCTCCTCGGAGATGCCGCCCAGCGCGGCGCCGATGCGCACCTGAGCCTGAGCCGCCGTATACTGTGCCTTGATGATTTCCTTCTGGTTGCGGAAGGCATCCACCTTGGCCTGCAAGCGTTGCTCGGCCTGGGTCAATTTCTCCTGCTCCCGTTCCATGCCGGCGATCTGCTCGTCCAGTCCCTCCAGCTCCGCCAGGGCGGTCTGCTTGCGCTGCAGGGCCAGCCGGGCGAGGTCCTCCCGGTCTGCGTCCAGCGCCTGGCGAGCCTGACGGTCCAGCCGGGTGATGTTCTCCCCGACCCGCTCGGCCTGCTGCTGGATGCGTCGCTTGGCGGTCACCATCTCGACCACTCCGCGCTTGACGTTCTGTAGCATCTCCAGCTGTTTCTCATACGAGTAGTCCAGCGTCTCCCGGGGGTCCTCAGCAGAGTCGAGCATGCGGTTCATCTTGGATTTAACGATGGTGGACATTCGGGAAAACATTCCCATAATCTCAATTTCCTCCTGTTGATAGTCGGGTACGTTGTACCCCGGGTTCGGCCAGTCGGCCGACTGTTCAATAGCCGCGTTTCGATCCGAAGAAGGCCCAGCCCAACATCACCACCGCCGCCAGGATGCAAAGCACGCCGGCGATGCGGAGCAGGAAATCCAACACGCCAATCACCATCAGTATGCCCAGCGCCAGCAGGGCTAGTCCCAGCAATATGCCGGCTGCTTTACTCAATCCCCCCATTGGGCTTCCTCCGTCGGTGGTTGATATGAGTAGAGGATAATGGGCGTCGCCGGCGGCGGTCAAGCGGGGCCTTCCTCTGAGGGCCGCCGCCCTGGGCTATAATGCGGCATCCGGCAACCGTGGCGCTGCCCGGTCTCTGCGGTTCCCATCCTTCCTCCGGCAGGTGAAGCCATCATGAGCAAGCAATCATCGTTGGGCCGGCTATTGGGCCGAATCATGGGCCGCGGAAACAACCGGCCGCCCGGCCGGACTGACCGACTGGCCGTCGACAACAGCATCCGAGCCGCCCGGGTCGGAGACGTGGTGATGGTGCAAGGCCTCAGCCTGGACTACGACGATGCCTATCTGGTGGTGGAACACGTGCATCGCTGCGCCGGTAGCGGCATCGAGTGGCGCGAGATAGTGGCCGCCGACGCCCGCCGGCAGGTGCGGCTGGAGTGGTCCGGTGACGGCGATAACCTTTTCGTCACCGCGGCCGCAGACCCCCGGCCGATGGGGCTGGACTCCATCGGTTTGACCGAGGATGACCTGATCGCGCTGGACGAAGCGCACTCGATCGACAACGGCGTAATCATTGAAGAACGGCGTTATTCGTATCGCAACAGCTTCGAAGCGATTTACTACCGGGACAATCAAATGGACGAGGGTGAAGGCTTCTACATGTGGGAGTTCGTGGCGGACGACGGGCAGGACATGCTGGCAATCACCAAGTTCGAGGGCATTCCTTTTGAAGCCCACTTCAGCGACATCATCCATCCGGATGCTGTGGCGCTGTACCCGGGAGAGCGATCAGAGACCCAACGACGATACGACTGAATGGAGAACGTGCCAAGTGGACATACTGATTGACATATTGACCTTTCTTCCCCGTGGGCTGGTCTATGTTGCGTTGGGGCTGGTGGTATTGACCCTGGCGAAACTGGCTCGCGATATTGTCACTCGTCACCGCATCGAGGAGGAGATAGTAGACAAGGGCAACGTCGCGGTGGCGCTGCGCCTGTCGGGCTATTTGGTGGGCGTCATCCTGGTTTTCCTCGGGGCCGTGTACCAGCCGCTGGGCGGCGCCGGCTATAGCGGGCTGGGTTTCGACCGCGCTTTCGGGTTGGAAGCGCTTTGGGTTTTCCTGTACTCGCTTGCCGGGATCGTCGCGCTGAACCTGATGCGGCTGGTCACCGACCGGTTGGTGCTGTACCGGTTTGAGCTGGAGCGCGAGATTATCCAGGACCAGAACGTGGGAGCGGCGGCAGCGGAGTTCGGCGTGAACGTCGCTGCCGGTCTTGTCATCGCCGGCGCAATCGCCGGCCAAGGCGGCCCGCTCAACGCCCTGGCGTTCTTCGGTCTGGGCCTCGGCGTCCTTATCCTCTTCGCCTTGTTCTACGAATGGACCACGCCTTTCAACATCCACGACGAGATTGAACGCGACAACCCGGCAGTGGGCATCACCCTGGGCGGCAACCTGGTAGCCATCGGCCTGGTCATCTTTAAGGCCACTTTCGGCGACTTCGTGGGCTGGCAGGAAGGTATTTTGGAATTCGTAGTCTACTCAGTGGTGGGGTTCGCTCTGCTGTATGTCCTGCGGCTGGCGGTGGACCTGGTGTTGTTGCCTCACACCCGGGTTTCGCAGCAGGTGGCAGCGGGACGCAACGTGGGCGTCGCCTTCGTCGAGACCGCGGTGGTAGTCAGCTCCGCCTTGATATTGCTCGTGGCCGTCTGAAGGCCAGACGTGGCCGACGTGGCGGCGGGGCACCGTTCGGAGTGTCACCCTTCGGCCAGGGCATCGGAGGCGCCAGCGGATTGCTGCTCCAGCAGGCGACGCTGAATTTCAGCTTGGGCCAGACAATCGGCGGCCGCCTCGGCCCGGGCTTCCAGCAGGGCGAAGCCGTCCTCCATGATAGCGGTGAGAACCGCGTCGGGCGGCGGCGGCATGGCGCGGTTGACCACCGGCTCCAGCAGTCGGTCGAAACACCCGGGGTCGCCTACCAACCGCTGCCATTGGTCGGCATAAGGGTCGAGAGTGCCGTCGTAGAGCCGCAACAGGAAAACGGCGCGGACCGGGTCCAGACCCTCGGCCATGATGGCTTCAACCCGCAAGTCGGCGCCGCGTCCGGTGTCGAACTCCGCAGCCTGTTCATCCTGGTTCCAGCGAGCGTCCTTGAACAGGTCGAAGCTGTCGATCAACGCTTCCGTCTCCGCCAGCAGGGAACCAATCAGCTGGCGGCCGGCCGGTGCCACCTCCGCTCCGTCCCCGTCTGCGGCCGGCCGCAGGCAGCGACGGCGGTTCAGCCCCGACACCACCGGACGGCAGGGGTCGGAGGCGGACAGGTCGGAGGCAGTCGGCACCGCGCAGCCATGCTTGTCCACGAAATAGAGCAACGCGCACGATTGCATCCAGTCCAAGAGTTCATGCCGGTTCACAGCGTACCCCCGCGCTACCGCCCAATCCAGTGGTCGATAAGCTGGGAGCATTGTTAGCATCAGGTCAGCGTCGCCGCGGCCTCCGACCCGGCGGCATAGGGGCGTTGGCCGCAAGTGGGCTCCCACCGGGTCGTCAGGGTGGGCTGGCCGGCCCCAGTTACGTCCCGTGGCCAGCGACAGACGGCAGAGGCCGGCTCGCCACTGTTGCGCCAGCGTCAGCAGCACGGCGTAACAGGCCGGCAGGTCGGGATTGTCTCGCCTATCCAACCGGGCTGCGGCCTCGCCCTGCCCGGTGGCATCCGGCGGCAAAAGCCGGTCCAGCAACTGGCGCAGCGTTAGGCGACTGTTTCCGGCCGGCAGGTTGACGTGCAAGGCCGTGTCCGGCGGCAGTTGGTCGGTCCATACCGACACACTGAGGCCGGCGTCGTCACCGGTGCCCATACGCTCAGGCTAGCCAGGCGGGTCGTGTCCAGCCGTCGCTATCCGGATCGTTGCGGAAGTTGACCCGGCCGCCGCCGCCGCTGAACCCGCCGAAACTGCTCCGGGATATCGTCGAACCGCTTCCGCCGCCGATGCCGGAACTGCGGGAGATGGACGAACTGCTGCGCGTTATGGAACTGCTGTTGCGGAAGCCACCGGACGACCTCTGGGTCTGCTGGTAGGTCTGCCGGCCCGAACTGACGCCCCGTCCTGCTTCCTGGTAACGGGAACCGGCAAACGTCTGCTGACGGGAGGTGTACTGCCGGTTGCGATCCAGCTGGGAGTCGTAGCCACTGGAACCGCGGTACGAGGACCGGTCCTGTCGAATGGTTGTCGCCCGGCCCGGCCCTGTCTGGTAATAATAGGGGCCGCGGCTCAAGCTGCTGAATATCAGGTAAGTGAAGAGGAAATCACCAGCGCCGAAGTGGCTGTTGTAATACGAATTGGCGTGATAGCCTCGCAGTTGGTGCTGTTCGTCCTCTTTGATGATGGCAAAGAGTTGGTCGTCCGTCGCGTCGTCGATTTGGCTGTTGTTGTCCAGGTCTTCCCAGCCCTCCAGCGTGAGGCGTTCGCCGTCCTGGCGGGAGCGGATCAGGATGATGCCATCGCCTTCGTAGATTTTGTTTACCCTGCTTTCGAACTCGGTGGCGCTACTGGACTCCTTGAACGCCTCCTGCACGTCGTCCAGATTGATGCGGCCGGCAGCGCCGTCGGTGGCCGCCCACTGGCTGTAGCTGGGACCGCTGGAAGAATCTCCACAGGCAACCAACAGCGGCGCGCCCGCCAACAAACTGCTGGCGGACATCGCCAGGGCCATTCGGCTGATTCGTGGCGACATATCGGTCAACTCCTTTGCGGGCGACTGGGGGATGAGGCAGCGGATCTCAAAATGTGAGCTGGGCCAGCCGCGGGTCCACGACCAACGGCGACGACGGTGCGGGGCCATTCTCCGGAGGGATGGGCAACCCGGCGATGGGAAAATGACATATTTGGGACAGGAAGCTATCGGATACTTCTTCTCGAAAACGTTGCCAGGCGGCGTCAGCGGAGATCACATACTCGGCAATTACGGTCTTTGGCAAATGCGTTTCCATTCTAGAAACGGCGGCCATCCCCCTCAAGTCGGCCCGGTGATTTTCCCACAGTTCATCGCCGGCCTGCAAAAGCAGTAATCGGGACAACTCGGCGAATCGTGCCGAGCCCAGTTGGTCCTGTCGTTCCGCCAAACGCTGTTGCAACAATTCTGCCAGCGCGCCTTCCAGTGCATCCAGGGAATGGCCCCAGGCCGGCTCAGCGTCCACGCCGTACCGAACCCACAGTTCTGCGGCCAGAGCCGCGAAGCGTCGTGCGTAATCGTCGGCAACGAGACCAGGAAAATGTCGGCCGGCGAGGCCGGTCGTGGCGAAACGGGCCGCGTCATCGGCCCACTGCCTCAGTCGGTCGGGCTCGGCAACCAGTGTATCCTGCCGGGCCAGATAGTAATCGTCGGCGTGGCGGTCCAACACCGCAGCGTACTCCAGCAACAGTGCCCGTGCACCGGATGCCTCCCGCTGGGCTGCATCTCGCCTCCGCCGCAACTGTCGATCCAGTTCCGGCCCTTCCCAGCAAAGCCGGCCGACCGGATCTGTTGCCGGCGCTCCGAACTCCACGCCGGTCAACCATCGGTCTGACCTGACCAGCAGGCTGCGAGTGGAGCCGAAAGCACCCTGGCGTCCGCTCCGGCCCTGCAGTTGCAGTGCCAACCCGAGGAGAATCGTTGAATTCCGTGCTGACGACGTGGAGGCCCAGTCCGAACTCTAGCGTGACAGCCAAAGGCGGCGCCGGGTCCGTCCCCCGGAGGTGCACCGCAAGACGGCCACCCTGGCCGGCCCGCGCGGCTGACATCCGGGGGTTAGCCACCAATGCCTGGGCCAATAGGTTAGCCTCGGCTGGCGTGTTGGCCTTCACGCCCACCGCCCTGCCGTCCGGGTCAGTCACCAGCAATTCCTCCAGCAGCGCGGCGAAGCGCACCAGGATGAAGCGATCGAGGTCAGGAGGCAGCATCACGTCGGTGCCGCGGCCGGCCATGTTGGTTGCCACCGTTACGGCAACGGGCTGTCCGGCAACGCGAACGATGTCCACTTCCTCGTGGCCAGTGGCGGCGTTGAGCAGCGAGTGGGGAATGCCGGCCACCGTCAGTCGCCGGCTCACGGCCTCCGACTGTGCCACCGTCCGTGTGGCCACCAGAGTCGGGCGGCCCGACCGCTGACAGTGACGGACCTCGTCCACAACGGCGTTCAATTGGTCATCGGCTTGAGCATACACCCGGCTGGGCAGGTCCCGGCGCCGCGTGTGTCGCGTATCGGGAACCACTTCCACATCCAAGCCGTACAGGCGACGGAACTCGTCGCTCGCAGCTTGGGCCGTGCCGGTGAGGCCAGCGAGGCTGCGGTAGCGACGCGCAAAACCCGGCACGCTGATTTCACCGAGGCTGCGGCGGTCAGGATGGACGGTCACGCCCTCTTTGGCTTCCACCGCTGGGTGTAGACCGTCCTGATAGTGGGTGTCAGGACGAGGCCGACCGGTGTCGCGGTCCACCAGCACTATCTGGTCATCGCCCACCACGTAGTCGACGCCCCGGCGCAGCAGCAGGTGGGCTCGCAGCAACTGATGCACCTGGTTGACCAGATTGGCCCGCTGAACAGCCCGTCGGGAGCCGTTTTTCGTCGCCGCCGTGGGCAGGGTCAGCGGAATATAAATCTCCCAGACGAGCCTCAAGGAAGGCCACTCCCCGGGGCGACAACCCCAAACTGTGTCTCTCTGCATTCACCAGGCAGTACAAACCTTCCCCAACCTCCGGGTGGGGTCTGCCGGAGCCGTCCGTATCGATCAGGGACAGTGCCCGGCGGCGCAGGCGAGGTTGGGATGCGGCCAGCTGGCGCGTCGATTCATCGTCCGGCTGGGCCAGCATGGCTCGGGCCAACAGGATTGCCAATTTGTCGTTCGCCTGACCGTCCTGGACCGACTGTTCCAGTTGGCGCCGGCATTCCGCCGCCAACTGGGCCTGCTCTGCGACGAGACCCCGTACCGCCCGGTCTGCGCGAACGATGGCCCGCCGGCTGACGATGGGAGCGCCGGCAATGACCAGCGGGGTGACAGCCTCGTCCAGCAACGTCTGATCCGCCTCGTCGATAATGGCGACATCCAGCGGCCCCTGGATTTGGTCGTCCGGGGACATTACCAGCTGATCCCGCAGGTAATCGAAGGCAAACTCACGCAGCGTGCCATAAATTATCCGGTTGGCGTAGGATTCCCGCCGCTCCGGACCCGCCATGTGGTCCAGCACTGCGCCCACCCTCAGCCCCAGCGCTCGGTACACTGGCGCCAGCCGCTCGCAGTCCCTGGCGGCCAGGTAGTCGTTGGCGGTGACCACGTGGACGGTGTGACCCAGCAGAGCATACAGCGCCGACGGGAACGCGGCGGCCACGGTCTTGCCCTCTCCCGCAGCCACCTCCACGATCCGCCGGTTGCACAGATGCAATCCGGCCAGCAGCTGCTGATCGGTGGGGCGAAAGTGGCGTCCCTCGCGTTCGTGGTCCAGCCGGCGGCGGGCCGCCCGGTAAAACTCCGCCGGAAGAAGCAGGTCACTACCCGGGTAGCGACCTCGGCCGGTGGCGGTTAGCTCCCGGCGGGCGGCTGCCATGCTCGGCTCGTCGTCCGCATCCGGCAGGTCAAAAACGTTCCATAACCCCAGGCGTCGCCGGATGGTCTCGTCAACCACAGCGAACACGCGAACCAGCGTGTCCTCCGGTATGAAATTGGAGGCTGAAGACCCGTCATTAAGGCCACCGACCGCCTCTCGCAGTTCCCGGTCTGACCAGTTGGACAGGCCCCACGCGCGCCGCGTTGCCCGGATGCGGCGCAGGATCCGGCCCTCCGGCGAGCGCACGCGCCACTTCCTTAGCAGCCGATGCTTAGGCCCATCCGGCCCGGCGCTCACAGCGTTGGACCTTTGTCCGAGACTTTGGAGGGCGGTCTTAGCGCAATTACGGCCAGGCCGGCCCGGTGGTCGGGACCGTCCCACCAGTTGTAACGGTCAATCAGTTGGTCTTGGGCTGCCAACACCCCCGCCGCCGCGGTCGGATTGACGGCGGCCAATTCCCCACCCACCGGTCCGTCCAGGGTCCACTCAGGGCTCAAGTCCGCCCGAAATCCGGCGCGGTGGCATAGACCCTCGTACTGCCCTTTCAGACGCCGGTATTCCGACTCGCTGCGGTAGGGCAACGGCACCACGTAGTGCTGATCAGAAAGGTACAGACCAAGTTCGTTCTCGAAGACCTGCACCAGGTCGGTGTCATCCAACCAGCCCTCCAGGGCGAAGAACAAGTTTTGGGGAACGTCCTGATCCACCCGGTGATAGTGGTAGTCCTCCGTCTCCGCCACCATGCGAACCCGCACGCTCGGGCGGTCTCCGTCTGCGCCGTTGCTCAACATCCGGCGGCCGGCGGCACCCCTGAGAAAAAGGAACGGGATGTTGCCGTTGGTGGCGTCCACCAACAGGGGTTCGCCATCCACCCAATACAGCAGGGCGGCGTGCTGCCAGTAGCGCATATGACGCCGGGCGAAGCGGAAGTCAAAGGTGTTCAGCATTTCCCGCAGCCGGTCAGCAGGAAGTGGGCCAGGCGCGCTTGGACCGCCCAGCAGGTATTCAGACTCCAGCCCGTAGTGGTCGGTAAGAAACTTCAGGGCCTGTACCTTCTCGGTGCAGATGCCGCCGGCTCCCGCGGCGATGTTGCGCACCGTCTCGTCGCCGGTCTTGAACCGCAAACCGTCGCTTGCGAAACGTGAGTAGTTCTCGAAATCGCTGCGCCAGATGCGCGCCGCCAGCGCGCGGATCAGCTTTCGTTGCCGGCACGGCGTATCCCCCCGCAACACCTGATCGGTCTCACTGGGGCCATAGGCCGCAGCCACGGCGGTTCGGACGAAGGTTTCATAGCAATGGGGGTGGTGGCGCCAACGGCGCAGGTGAAAGCCGGTCCAGTTGCGATCGTAACCGGCGTCGGTGCGGTCCACCGCCACATCGATCAATTCCAGTGGAACGTCGCCCGCCGTTGCCGACTGGACTGAAACCGGCAGGGTCAGACAGGCCGGCCGGCCTTGCTGGAGAAACCGCACACCGGCGAAGACGCCCGTCAGCCGGCCGGAGTCGTCGGAACGGTACACCAAATCCTGCAGGCTTCGCAGGGCAAGCAGGCCGTCGGCTGTAATTGCGCGAGCCCGAATCAGTCGGTCGTCGTTCGGCGTGTTCCTCAGGTAGCGGTCCAGCAGACGGCCCAACGGGGCTGACCGGGCGGCCGGGTCGTCCAGCCGCAGGGCTGCGTTTCGACCAGAGACGGTATCCGTAATTCGCAGGATCAGGGATGACGGCATGGCAACGGGGAGGGCATCCTCACTATCCTCAAGGTATGCCGGCAGACGATTGTGAAATGCACCATACCACACGGCTTGATCAGCCGGCGGGCGCGCGCTGACAGCGATTAATCTACCCTGTCAGCAGCGAGGACAGTTTATGGTAACGTCTTATGCGAAGTGTATCTGTGGATCCCCCCACGCGCGGGCGGTAGGCAGCACCTTCGAGTACGATTTTCCGGTGATCACCCACAATCTCTACGGATCGGCCAAACCCGACGGATCCAAGCAACGGCGCACGTCGTCAAACAGCCGGCCGGCTGAAACCGAACCGGCCCCACAACCCAAGTGTCCCGACACTCCCAAACCCAAAGGCACCACGTTCACGCCGGGACAGCGCAAAGAACAGGACCGTGCCAACCGCGCCGCACTACGCCAGCGCCGAAAGGAACTCGGCATCTGCCGGGACTGCAAGAACCTCGCCGTACCCGGCAAGACTCGCTGCTCAGACTGCGCCGCGAAGCACAGCAAGCGTCATCGTTGACGCTATCCAGAGCCGCTCGGCTCAAACCCAACTTCAGCGACCCTTACCTTAACTACACGACGCTTATCTGTTTCTGGCTCGACTCACTCAGCATGTGGCCGCCGTACATCAACCACCAAAAGGAGCGGGGCTGGTAGTAGTACCGGCCCCGCTCACGTACATCACGCCAGATTCGACTAACCCGTGACCAGATCCTTGATCTGCTGCTTGGTCAACTCGAAGGGCGCCGCAGAACCCCGAACGGGAGTCAAGCCACCTTCCGAAACCAAGCTCTCGTAAACGTCGGTTGCCAAGAACGTCAGCCGACCGTCCGCGTCCACCTGCGCCAAGTAAGGCTCGCCCGGAGATGCCCAAAGGACATCCCCGTACTCACTGGAGTACCCTTCCGGGCGGCTTATTCCCTCCAGGAAAAGAACGTAGTCCGTCCCCTCAGTCAGTTCCAGCAACTCGTAGCTGCTGTCCTTGGACTTGCCGTCTCCAAAGTTGAACGTACTGCTGTCCGTGGTAACCAGGTAAATCTCGTCACCGGCGGCGCCGCTGCCCTTCAACACCTCCACCACAGTGAACTTCCGGAATCGCTCGTTGACCGAACCCTTTGACACACCGTCCGACGCGGTACCCTTCGATATGGTCTCAGTGCGGTCGTCGACATACTTCGCCACTACAATGCGGTCCGAACCAGCCACCAGCGTATCCGCCTCAACGTGGATCAGCCACGAAGCCACGCTCCCACTGCTCCCACCTCCCCACATCATCCGCGGCGCCACGACGAACCCTGCCAAGATGCCGACCACCAAGGTCACGCCCAAAAGGGCTATCAGCTTGTTTTTCAAGATGTCCACCTCCGGTCGGTAGTTGCATTCCAGCGAATAGTCCACGTGCGAGTAGATGTCCTGCACCCCGCAATCATAGACGGGTATCAACAAGTACAACACCTCAAGGCCGAACCAGCCGATAAACACAGTGACTAGTGCTCAGTCCATGTTGGAAAGGCAGAGGTAAAATCGCTGCAGTTTGTTTCGGGCGTCCTGGCTGCTGAACCGCCAGTCGATGGTGGCTTTCCTAGCGTTACGCTCAGTCTCATAGACGCCGATAGCCCGTTGCAGGGCAGGTTCGTCGGGGTTTCTCCCTTGAAGGCAAGCCCGGGTCAACACGCTGAATTCAATCTCCGCCATATTCAGCCAGCTGGCGTGTTTGGGAGTGTGGTGAAACTCGAGGCGTTTCACGATGCGCCGAGCCTCAGCGGCGGGGACGGTCTCGTAAAGGGACGCCATGCGGTGGGTGTTCAGATTGTCGAGCACCACCCGTACCACTGGAGCGCGGGGATAGGCGACATCCACTAACCACCGCATCTGGTGAGCGAAGTCCTGCAGGGTACGGCGTTCGGTGATGGCGATGTGGAGCCAACCGGCCAGGGGCTCACAGGTCAGGAAGATGTTGCGGGTGCCGCCGCGCCGGTACTCGTAGTCCTGACGCCGCGGTCGTCCCGGTTGGGCGGGCAAAGGCTCTCTCACATCGGCCAACAGTTGGGTGGAGGTCTCGTCAAAGCACACCACCGGCCGGTTTGGGTCGTAGGGTTCGGCGTAGAGGTCCAACACGTCCTCCATTGCCGCCACGAACTCTCCGTTCACCTTGGGGATGCACCACTGCTGCTTCCGCCACGGCTGGAGGATGTTTTTTTCAGCCGCAGACGCACCGTCTCGTGGGACAACGACTCCACCAACCCCAACTCCACCGCCTGGTCGGCCAGCAGCCGCAGGGTCCAGTGGTCATGGCCTTCGGGCGCAGCGCTGCACGCCAGGGCAATCAGGTGGGCTTCGCCCTTGTCATCCAGTTTACGATACCGGTTGGCTTGAGGATGGTCGTGCAGCACGCCGTCCAATCCTTCCTCGGCGTACCGCCGTTTGGTGCGGAACACCGTGCGCTGCGACGTGTCCAGCGCTGCTACCACCTGGGACCCGCTCCACCCATCCTCAGTCCGGAGCAGGATGCGCGCCCGAGTGATTACCCGAGCCGAATGCTGGCCGCTTCGGATCAATTGCCGGAGCCGTTCCTGCTCCTCCGACGTCAACTGTACCCCGTACTTCTCCCGAACCATGGATGTCGCACCTCCCGCACTGCTGATTGCTACTCAGCGTAGCCACTCCGGCTCACCTCCCGCCATATCTGTCGATACAGATTTCACTGAATACTCGTTTGTCATAGCGAGGACCGACGCAACGCGGCAATCCCCTTGCCCGATCGGTGACTCCTCAGCCAACGAGATTGCCGCGCGTCGCTCGCAATGACAGTTTGAACACAAGCGGGTACGGATGGGGGTTACGATCTATAGGGCGAGTTTAGTAAGAGTGCTTTGCTCCACAACATGTATCATGGACATCGGAATTATGTCCGTTTGCATTGGTGATATCGGCCGTGCAAGGTCATTGTGTTGCGCAGCGTGTTAGGTCTGACGAAGTAACGGAATGCACCAGGGCATTGGGTATCTTGGGATCGATATTGCTGATAAGTCGTGGAAACCGCGGCTGACCACGCTCGGCGCACTTCTCATATGCGTGCGACGTCGTTTCATTGGTCACCGCGATGGCTCGTGTTTGCCTCCTTTCATGCTTTCTTTACATGCTGCTGTGTGATTGTGAAGAGGCGGGGTGAGCTGGTGGACGCGCTGACGCCGAGGGCGCCGGTCAAACCCGTGAGACTGGGTGTGGCCAGGGTAGGGGGTTGACCAGCTCTCCGAATCGGGTCCTCGACTACTCACGGGTGATTTCACAGCGCCGGCGATGGTCACGCAGACCTTTGACCACCTCGGTTTCGACGACGCGCTATTGCCGGCTGGCTCTGGTACCGAAGTATGCGGCGGCGGCCAGCGTGCCCAGGACGCCGGTCACGCCTATCGCCAGGATCAAAACGCGCCACATGGAGAGCGCCTGAGTTGCGGACGCGGTGTTGGCGGAGGAACGCCGGTTCACGTCGTCGACGAGGAGGTCAACCTCGTGAAGCAATTCTTCAAGTAACACGTCGTTGGCCGCGATCAGTCTCCGTTCCTCGACAATCATGTCTAATTTCACGTCAAGGGTCTGCCACACGCTACCCTCCTCCCCGCCGAGGTCCAGCACCTCCCTGGCGAGTGGAATGGCGTCCGGTTGCAGGGTGGCAGGGGTGTTGTTGTCCAGGTACTTGACGCTGGTCGCCATCCGTTGAGCCGCACCGTGGTAGTCTTCGCGGATCAGTTGCGCGTTTTGGGGGAAGAGCGAAACGCTTGCGCCCAGGAGGACACCCATTCCGAGACGCTGGCTTTCAACGAGATTGAAGATGTGGTGGTATTGCCAAATATCGTCCAGGGAAAGCCTGTCGGCGGCGGATCCGGAGAGCGGTGCCGTCCCGTTGTAACCTGCCACCAGGTAATGAAATTGGTCGTCCAGGCTGGTGACGAGCGCTGCGTCGAGTTTCTTTTTCAGTTCGAAACGAATCTTACGGTAGTTCGCCAGACTTTCTGACATCAGACTCAGCAACTCCGGTCGTGCCGCCTCGATCAGTTCGATGTTGTATGCCAGCGAATCGATGTGCTGGCGGATGGTTTCCACATGCTCTTCATCGTCGTGGGCTTCAAAATGAACCAATTGTTGCCTCAATGCCGTTTCTTCTGCCGCCAGCCGGTCCGAACGCTCAGCCAGCCGATCAGGGGACATGGAGGAGACAGTGGGCACAGACCCCACGGACGCCAGCAGGCTGGAGTGCCGGGCCACGCCGAAGGCGGCGGACAGGAGAGCAGCGTCTCGGTTCTCCGCGATATTGGGCTCCAGGCGGGTGGTCGCGAGCCAGCCGGCCAGGGTCGCGCCGACGATAATCACCAGGGCATCGCCGACGGTCAGCAAAAAAGTTGGAGATGTGCGCAATTGACCCATCATCACGAGCCTCCCAATTCATCAATCATCAAGAAGTTTCCGTCCCCGTCAATTACGGTCAGGAACACCGCGTCGGACCCCTGATTGTCACCGGTCCCGTAACTGAGCTTGAATCCGTCTATGTCGATCGTTTCAGAGTCTCGAATGGCCGTGACGAAGCAGCTCCTGTTGAGGTCCCTGCCGCACGTTTCAAGTCCGGCGATTGCCAGGCGGCCGGCCAGGTATCCTTCCAGCGAGAAAAACCCGGAACGGCGGCGGGATCGTATTCCAGGAGCGCCTTCTGGTAGGCGGCCACTATCGGTAAGTTGTCGTCTTCCGGCAAAGGCACCACTTGAGTGACGTACACGCCGGCGGCGTCGGGCCCGAGTTCTGCCGCCAGAGCGTTGCTGCCGACGAAAGACGTGGTCATGAACACCGGATCGATGTCGCGACGGGCCAGGGTGATGGTCTCGGCCACCGGGGCATAGGCGCCGATGATGATCACCGCTTCGGGGTCGGCCGCGACGATGCTGAGCAGGGCGGTCTTCACCGCGGTGGTGTTACGTTGGTAGTAACCATCCGCGACGGGGTCCAATCCCCGACGCTCCAGCGCCAGACGCGCGCCCTGTAATCCAGCTTTACCGAAGGAATCGTTCTGATACAGGACCGCGACTCGCGTAATCCCAAGGTCACCGGTGAGACGGGCCACCATCTCTTCGGTTTCCTGGTTATACGAGGCCCGCAGATTCACCACGTTGCCAAGCTCGGGGTCGCGGAGCATATCCGTGCCGGTGAAGGGGGCCAGGAACGGAACGCCGGCGGCGACTGCAATCGGAACGGCGGAGTGCGAAGTCGGAGTTCCAACGGCGCCGATGAGGGCAAACACGCGCCCGGCGTTGACCAGCTGCTGCGTGTTGGCGAACGCGCGGTCCGCTTCATAACCGTCGTCCAGGGTCATCAACTCCAGCTGACGGCCATGGATTCCTCCGGAGATATTCGCTTCATGGAAAGCCGTCAGTATCCCGAGCCTCATGTTGTTACCCAGTTCCTGTGCCGACCCGGTGAAAGCAGCCGATTGGCCAAAGACGATCCGGTCGTCGTATACTCCAGGGTCGCTGCGACCGGGAATAGGAACCGCGATTTCGGAAGATTGCTCACCCGCGCTGACGGGCGAGAGCGCTTCACTCGCCGGTTGGGCGCACGCGGGGCCGGTGAGAATTCCGACCAATGCAATGATCGTGGTCAAACCCACGAAACGGAAACCGGAAACCCTCAAGTATCTCATTTTCACACCTCAGTTATAGAGTGTACGTTTCTCGTATGACGACACATCGCCGTATGGGGGACGCGCAGAATATGGTCGACCAACGGTGGTCTGATGCGGGGGCGTTTTGGGATGGTCGCGCCAAGACACGCCGTGACGTGTTATGGGTGGCGGACCTTAGAGCCAGCGATGGGCTCACCTGGTTGGTACCGATGGCGTAACCTGGGGATGATTTGTGAGCGGGTCGCTGCGCGAACCCGTCGGCGAGATATTTATTTCGTCATGGACGAGATTTAACGTATAGCCGGACCGTAACACAGATCAACGCGGAAAGTCTATGCACATCCAGATTTTGACCAGGGGCATTCGATTGTTGTCTCCGGGGATGACGCGATGCGCCCGTCACCGGGCGACGCAACTGCGGTCGGCGAGAGCCCGTGCTACGGTAACGGGATTGCCACCCTTCGCTCGCAATGACAGAACGTTGTATCGTCTGCCAGCGAGATTGCCACGATGCGCTCGCAATGACAGAACGTTGTATCGTCTGCCAGCGAGATTGCCACCCTGTCGCTCGCAATGACAGAACGTTGTATCGTCTGCCAACGAGATTGCCACGATGCGCTCGCAATGACAGAACGTTGTATCGTCTGCCAGCGAGATTGCCACCCTTCGCTCGCAATGACAGAACGTTGTATCGTCTGCCAACGAGATTGCCACGATGCGCTCGCAATGACAGAACGTTGTATCGTCTGCCAACGGGATTGACACGGTGCGCTCGCAATGACAATTGGGAAAATCGAATGACCTTGAGATTTTGACGCTTGCAGCGTAAATACGCACAACATGCTGATGGTAAGTGCATTACGAATCGTACGGGACGCATATTCAAGTCCGCTCCAAGAGGGCGTGTGACCTCGCATGTGCCCGGTTGTTCATCGCGAGGGGCACAATGATGTGGTAGCCCCGTTCCCGGAGCGACATCGCCGTGTATTGAACCAGCATGTTGGCGGACGAACCCGATTGGTTGGTAACTGGTGTTCGGTCAAACCTGTATCAACAGATACGGCGAGAGGTGAGCCGGCGTGGCTACGCTGAGTAGCAATCAGCAGTGTGGGATGTGCGACATCCATGGTTCAGGAGAAATACGGGGTACAGCTGACGGTGGAGGAGCGAGCAGGGCTCCGACAATTGATACGAAGCGGCCAGCGTTCCGCACCAAACGGCGCTACGCCGAGGAGGGACTGGACGGCGTGCTGCACGACCATCCCCAAGCCAACCGGTATCGTAAACTGGATGACAAGGGCGAAGCCTATCTGATTGCCCTGGCATGCAGCGCTGCGCCCGAAGGACATGACCACTGGACCCTGCGGCTGCTGGCCGACGAGGCGGTGGAGTTGGGGTTGGTGGAGTCGTTGTCATACGAGACGGTGCGTCTGCGACTCAAAAAAACATCCTCCAGCCGTGGCGGAAACAGCAGTGGTGCATCCCCAAGGTGAACGGGGAGTTCGTGGCTGCCATGTGAGGACGTGCTGGACCTCTACTCCGAACCCTACGACCCAAACCGGCCGGTGGTGTGCTTCGACGAGACCTCCACCCAACTGCTGGCCGATGTGAGAGAGCCTTTGCCCGCCCAACCGGGACGCCCGCGACGCCAGGACTACGAGTACCGGCGCGGCGGCACCCGCAACATCTTCCTGACCTGTGAGCCTCTGGCCGGCTGGCGCCACATAGCCATCACCGAACGCCGCACCATGCAGGACTTCGCCCACCAGATGCAGTGGCTGGTGGATGTGGCCTATCCTCACGCTCCGGTGGTACGGGTGGTGCTCGACAATCTGAACACCCACCGCATGGCTTCGCTTTACGAAGCCTTCCCCGCCGCTGAGGCTCGGCGCATCGTGAAACGGTTGGAGTTCCACCACACTCCCAAGCACGCCAGTTGGCTGAATATGGCGGAGATTGAATTCAGCGTGTTGACCCGAGCCTGTCTACCAGGGCGGTATCCCGATGAACCCGGCTTGCAACGAGCAATCAACCCCTATGAAGCCGAACGCAACGCAGCCGGGGCCACCATCAACTGGAGCTTCAGCACCCAGGATGCCCGAACCAAACTGTATCGCCTCTATCCCTCCAATTCCAAGATTGACTGAGTACTAAACCGAAGCCAAGGTGAAACCCGCACTTGGTTTGGATAGAATTGGAAGGAATTGAGAGGATCGGTTGGGAAGTTGCCGGGGGTTGCTGGTGGGTATGCTGGAGATGGGAGCGCTGCTGGAGCGGTGGCGCATGGATGAGGCTGCGGTACGACGACGGATGTACCGAGCGCCGACGCCTCGGGAGCGGGAACGGTGGCACGCGGTGTGGTTGCTGGCGCGAGGCTGGACCGCGGCCGCGGCCGCGGCGTTGGAACGGGACGCCCACACTATTGGCCAATGGGCCACGGCATTTCCGGGAGGGTGGTCCTGAGGCGCTGGCTTTTGAGCAGTCAGGAGGTTCCCCCCGCATTGAACCGGGAGCGGCAGGCCGAGTTGAAGGCGGCGGTGCAGGAATTGCCGTCGCAAGCTGGCATCGATTTGTCCAACTGGAACTGGAAGGCGGTGCGCCGGTTGGTAGAGGAACGCTTCGGGTTGACGCTGAGCCGGAGTGGTTGCCTGAATTACCTGCACCGGTTGGGCTTTGTCCTGAAGCGTCCCAAGAAGCGGTTTGGTCAAGGCAGACCCGGTACGGCGGGAAGGCTTTGTGAGGGAGTACATTGCCTTGACAGCGGCGGGCCCGACGAACTGGGGCCAAGATATTCTTCGCTGACGAGGCTCACTTTCGGGCGGATGCGGATCTGCGGGCCAAATGGGTGCTGAAGGGTGAACCGGCGCTGGTGGACTCCACCAGCCCGCGACGTGGGGAGAAGGCGAGCTACTACTCGGCGGTGTGTCTGGAAACCGGAGAGGTGGAGTTGCTGGAACTGGAAGGTAACAGCAACTCCACCACCTCGGTTGCCTTCCTGTCGGTTGCCTTCCTGCGTCAACTGCGGGCGCAACACACCGAACCGTTGACGGTGATTTGGGACAATTCCCCAGCTCATAGGGGCGACGCGCTGCGAGCCTACCTGGCCAACCCCAACTTGAACCTGCGCTTGGTGAACCTGCCCACCTATAGCCCAGATTTCAACGCCGACGAGGCTATTTGGGGCTGGGTACGTCAAGAGGTGACCGCCAACCTGTGCCTGGGGACCCGTGCCGCAGTCCAGGAGAAGGTGGGCGACTTTTTCGCCAGCCTGTCCAGCCGATGCGACGAAGTCAAGCGCCGATGCCAGACCGTGCTTCAGGCTCGAGCAGCAGAACTGACTGCCAGCACTCAAGCCGACCCTTCCCATCCCGCGAATGTAGATTTCACCTTGGCTTCAGTTTAGTACTCAGTCAACTGTGGAAAGGCAGGGGTAAATCGCTGCAGTTTGGTTCGGGCGTCCTGGGCGCTGAACCGCCAGTTGCATGTCACTTACCTCCGTCTTGTCGGGTGGCAGACTTGTACCGGAAGCCTACCACCATCGGTTCCGTTTCATTGTGCGTGGTGCCTAGCCCTGCCCGGTCTCACCGGCTCCCCTGCATCCCTTTGGCGGGTTCCGTTCAAGAGCTAGCCGTCCGGTCCCGCGATGGTGATCTCCAGGAGGCTGGAGAGCATTCTGCCGTCCTGAGTGCAGATGGCTCCGGCGGCATCGCAGTCCGTGGTGACGGGCAGCATGATGGTGACCGGGCCGTGTCCGTTGGGAGCCGTGGTTATTTCCCAGCGGACGTTTTTGCCTTTCTCCAGCCGCCGCCCTTTGGTGACCTCACCATCAGTCACCGTGAAGGCGTGGTCGCGCAAGGTGCGGTAGCTGAATCCTTGCTTGGGAGTTTCGCTGAAACGCAGCTCGAAAGTGAAGTTCGTGCTGCCATCGTGGGTTGAAGGAACGTTGTGGGCGCTGGCCGTGAAGGGGACCGGCGCGGGGGTATCGTTGGTCACACTCTGCCCATTGAAAGAAGCAGCCGCGTTTCCGGCTATGTCCTGCAATCTGGATGCCGACCTGTCCGCAGGGACCGTGTATGACACGGTGGCGGCGTCTGCCGAGGCGACGCTGGTGGAGAGGGTGACGGTGACGGTGGCGTCTGATACTGATACGGCGTTGATTTCCCGGTTACTGCCGTCCACGTTGACCGTGAAGGCGGATTTATTCGGCGTTGCGGTGCCGTCCAGGGCTTCGTTGAAGTTGAGGGTCAGCGTGGCTTCACGGACCGAGGCGGTCGAAAGTTCGGGGGGCGTGGTTTCCTGGGGTGTGCCGGTTGCGACGTCGGACGGATCGCCCTGGGAGCTGTCCCTGGTGGCAAAAACGCGGGCGGCGTATTCGCTGCCGTTGGTGAGGCCGTTGATGACGTATGAGGTTTTGGTCAGGCTGGCCTGGGATACGGTGTCCGGGTCGGTCCAGGAGTCGTAGGCGGCTTTCCACTGGATGGTGTAGCCGGTGGGAGTGGGCCCGGTATTGGGCGGGTCCCAAGTGGCGTTGAGTTTGCCGCTTTGCCGGAGGTCAACATCCAGGTTTTGAGGGATCCCGAGAGGATCGGGTTCCTGGGATCTGCTGCTGCCGGAATCGGCGGTGTTGTTGGTTACGGTAACGTCGTCGAGGGAGACCGCGGCGTTGCCGGACGGGTCCTGTAATTTGGAGATCGCCGGACTGGTGGGAGCGGCGTAGTCGAAGGTCACGGTGTCACCGGAGGCCACCGGAGTTTCCAGGTCCAATGTCACGACGGCTTGCTGGACCGAAACGGTTTCGATAGCGTGAGTGGATGTGCCGACCTTGACGGCGAAGGTGGTTTTGGGCGGGATTCTGTTCTGGTCCAAAGTTTCGGCGTAAGTCAGGGTGACGGTGTCGCCGTCAACGGTGACTGTGGATGCCCTTGGAGCGGTCTTGTCCGCGGTGTTGTTGGTCACCGCTTGGTCGCTGAGGGCAGCGGCCAGGTTGCCTGACTGGTCGTGGATTCTGCCGGTGTTCCAGGGGGGAACGGTGTAATCCAGGGTAACCGTGGCTGCGCCCACGGGATCGTGGAGGTAGAGCTTGACGGCGAGTTGGTTGACCTGGGTTGACCTGATCGTGGAGGCGATCCCGTCCACCTTCACGCTGAAAGCGGTGGAGGGGGGAGGCTTGGAGTCGTAGAGCGGCTCGTCATAGGTCAGCGTAATGGCGTGGGCGTCCACGGTGGCCGTTTGTAGAACCGGGGCCGCGTCGTCGATTGCCACGAATCTCGGACTAAACCGAAGCCAAGGTGAAACCCGCACTTGGTTTGGATAGAATTGGAAGGAATTGAGAGGATCGGTTGGGAAGTTGCCGGGGGTTGCTGGTGGGTATGCTGGAGATGGGAGCGCTGCTGGAGCGGTGGCGCATGGATGAGGCTGCGGTACGACGACGGATGTACCGAGCGCCGACGCCTCGGGAGCGGGAACGGTGGCACGCGGTGTGGTTACTGGCGCGAGGCTGGACGGCCGCGGCCGCGGCGTTGGAACGGGACGCCCACACTATTGGCCAATGGGCCACGGCATTCCGGGAGGGTGGTCCTGAGGCGCTGGCTTTTGAGCAGTCAGGAGGTTCCCCCCGCATTGAACCGGGAGCGGCAGGCCGAGTTGAAGGCGGCGGTGCAGGAATTGCCGTCGCAAGCTGGCATCGATTTGTCCAACTGGAACTGGAAGGCGGTGCGCCGGTTGGTAGAGGAACGCTTCGGGTTGACGCTGAGCCGGAGTGGTTGCCTGAATTACCTGCACCGGTTGGGCTTTGTCCTGAAGCGTCCCAAGAAGCGGTTGGTCAAGGCAGACCCGGTACGGCGGGAAGGCTTTGTGAGGGAGTACATCGCCTTGGCGGCGGCGGCCCGACGAACTGGGGCCAAGATATTCTTCGCTGACGAGGCTCACTTTCGGGCGGATGCGGATCTGCGGGCCAAATGGGTGCTGAAGGGTGAACCGGCGCTGGTGGACTCCACCAGCCCGCGACGTGGGGAGAAGGCGAGCTACTACTCGGCGGTGTGTCTGGAAACCGGAGAGGTGGAGTTGATGGAACTGGAAGGTAACAGCAACTCCACCACCTCGGTTGCCTTCCTGTCGGTTGCCTTCCTGCGTCAACTGCGGGCGCAACACACCGAACCGTTGACGGTGATTTGGGACAATTCCCCAGCTCATAGGGGCGACGCGCTGCGAGCCTACCTGGCCAACCCCAACTTGAACCTGCGCTTGGTGAACCTGCCCACCTATAGCCCAGATTTCAACGCCGACGAGGCTATTTGGGGCTGGGTACGTCAAGAGGTGACCGCCAACCTGTGCCTGGGGACCCGTGCCGCAGTCCAGGAGAAGGTGGGCGACTTTTTCGCCAGCCTGTCCAGCCGATGCGACGAAGTCAAGCGCCGATGCCAGACCGTGCTTCAGGCTCGAGCAGCAGAACTGACTGCCAGCACTCAAGCCGACCCTTCCCATCCCGCGAATGTAGATTTCACCTTGGCTTCAGTTTAGGTTGTTCCCCAGCGAAGAATTCGAGCAAAATGGGCGTGTCTTCGAAGTCGGACCAGTTTGAAGTGTCCTCCGTGGAGGCGTAATTGATTAAGACGGCGTTGTCGCCTATGGACCAGCCGGCGGCGGCTCCGGGGTTCTCGTCGCCGTCGGGGACGGTGGCTACGTGGTAAGACGAGCCGGAATTGGCGTCCCGGAATACCACTTGATATGTGGTGTTGGGGAGGAGGAGCGTGGAGTCGCGCGGAGCCCAAAAACGGTCGGTGAGTTGTGCGGTTGGGTGGCCGGTGATCGGCCCGATGCGTTGGAAGTCGAAGAGCTTGATGCTTGGGTAGCCGTTTTCGTTGGACCACAGCTGGGCTAAAACCAAGTTGGTGGCCTTGTTGTCAGGGTCGTGGTGCAGGCCGGCGCCGATGTATGACAGCTTGTAGCCGCCTCCGTGAGAGCCGGTGGTGAAAGCGGTGGCTTTCCAAAGCGTGTTGCTGACCCGAGTGGTGCCGCCGGTGTGGGAATCGGTGTTGCTCACTTTGCGGGTGGTGTTAACGATTCTGTCGAGATCGACCGTGTAGGGACCGAAATAAGTGGCGGAACCTTCGTTGAGGGAGTCCTTGGCCTGGATGCGCAGGTAATAGGGTTCGGAGGTCGCGACGAACTCGATGAAAGCGAGACCATCGTCGCGGTTGTGGTCCCACAATGCGGCGTTGTGGTTCACTGCGATGGAGCCGCCGCGCTTCTCGGCGGCAACGGTGGATCCGGAGGATGCGAAATCGACCTTGACCCGGTAACGGGTGTTGGGCTCGACGCGGAGCTTCCACCAGTCTCCTTTGGTTCTGCCGGAGTCGTGGTTGGCGTGCATCCTGCCCGTGTGGGTCTCGCCGGGTATGATCAGGCCGAGCGTTTCGCCGGAATTGGGAAGATCCCCGGAATCCGGTTCGTTCAGGATCGGGGCGATCTCTGCGCCCCAGAGCTTCAGGCGGACGCTGGCGTCGCCGGTGGTGAAGGTTGAGCTGGTGTCGGTGGTCTGTTTGACGTGGGTGTTGCCAATCTTCCAGTCGCCGCCGGCGCCGCGGTCGTAGCTCCGGTCCTCCGCGGTGAGTACGATGTGCATCGGGTCGTCGTCGGCGTAGATGCTGACCCAATAGGTGGTGTTGGGTTTCAGCCTGGTTTGAGCGGGAGCGTCGAACCTGAAGTTGCCTGGTTCGGCGTTGATGGCGCCGATGGACGACGGATTGGTGAAGGTGAACAGTCGCGGGCCGGCATTGTGGCGGTTGTTGCTGTGAAGGGCGACCGCTGGAGTCGGAGACCCGCCTTGCCCGGGAATGGTCTTCAGTTTGAGTTCGACCTGGTCCAGGGTGTAGCCGAAATCGGCGTTCCCGGTGGTGAAGGAACCGGTTACCATGTGGTGGTTGGAGCCGAGCGCGCCGACCGCGGTGTTCTCGGAAGATCCGACGTCCAGGTTGGACGCGAGGGAAGTGGCGCTTTGAGCGCCGGCCCGTTCCGTGGCGACGATCAGCGAACCGGCCAGTACCAGGACGACGGCCATAGCAGCGGCTAATCTCCAGAGGCTGCTCAAGCTCCGCCGAACTGAAACACAATTCTGCTGTAGGGGTGCGGTAGTTCCATCCATTGCTCTATCTTCTGGAATATAGGTGCTTAATGTTCTCCATCATATTTGTTGCTCAGCATGATGGTGCAATGGTACATGAGAATGCCTCAAGGGTCGCGGTCTTGAAAAATGAATCCAACCCATTGGAGAGGGGCCTGGGATCCTGCGTGCAGGCCGGGCTGGTGTGGCGCAGTCGGTCTTAACCGCTGCGGGCTGAGTTTTGTCTGGAGTCGACGGCGGTGCGGTGGGTTGGTGGGGCGGGTTCACCTCTCTAAACCCCAATCCACCGACAAGATGAGGCTGGCGGCGTGCTGAGGGGATGAGAAAGTGCTCCCGGCTTCGGGGATAATGGTTTTTGAAACAGAAAACCAACCCAAAACGAGGAGCACCCAAAAGATGCTACCACGCAACCACCCTGACCGCATCCACGTCGCCTTCGACGACCACCGTCTGGTGGCCAATGCCGGACTGCTCCTGCCGGTTACCCTGGCCCCACATCTGGGTCTGGGTGAAAATGGTGGACCGCCATGTTGACCTGGGAGATGCGCCGGGTCGAGCCAACCCGGGAGACAAGATGCTGACGCTGGTGGCGTCGGCACTGGCCGGCGGCGACTGCATCGATGACGCCGACGTGTTGCGCACCGGCAGCACCGCACGGGTGCTGGGATGTGCGGTTGAAGGCGCCATCCACCCTGGGGACCTTTCTGCGCAGCTTCCGGTGGGGTCATGTTCGCAACTGGATCGGGTGAGGCCGGGAACTGCCTGGCGCGGGCTGGGCTGCTGGCGCAGGACCCGGCGACGAGCGTTGACCATCGACCTGGACTCCACCGTCTGCGAGACCTACGGACTGGGCAAGGAGGGCGCCCGTCGCCATGGTTACACCGGCCAGCGGGGCTATCACCCGCTGCTGGCCGTCGCCCGCGGACACCGGCGACGTGCTGATGGTGCGGCTGCGCCAGGGCCGGGCCAACACCGCGCGGGGCGCGGACCACTTCCTGCGGGAGGACGGTGGGCCGGAGTGCGCTACGCCGGAGCCACGGACAACTCACCGTCCGCGCCGACAGCGGCTTCTACACCCACAGCCATGGTCGCCCGTCTGCCGCAAGATGGACGTCCGCTTTCCATAACCGTCCGCCAGCACCAAAGCCTGCGCAACCTCATCGAGGCCATACCCGAGACGGACTGGACGCCGATCCCCTATTGGATGGACGGCGCCGCTGAGTGGCCGAGACTGAATACACACCCTTCCAGCATGAGCCCGACGCCGCGCCACGCGGCTCATCGTACGCAGGGTCGAGCCCACGCCCGGTTCCCAACTGGCGCTGCTTACGGACTACAGCTATCACGCCTGCATCACCGACCGGGAGGGCGACACCCTGGAACTGGAGGCCGACCATCGCCGCCATGCCGAGATCGAGAACGCCATCCGCGACCTGAAGTACGGCGTGGGGCCTCAACCATCTCCCCTCCGGCCGCTTCGCCGCCAACGCCGCCTGGCTGGCGGTGCAGGTCATCGCCCACAATCTGGCTCGCTGGACGGCGCGCATCGGTCTGGGCGAGCTGGTGGTTACCACCAAGACCCTGCGGCGACGCTTCTTCTCCCTGGCCGGACGCCTCACCCGCAAGGCCCGCCGCCTCACCCTGCATCTGCCCCAACACTGGCCCTGGGAAAACCAGTTCAGTCGTGCCTTGTCCCGGCTGAGAGCCCTGCCACTGCCTTCCTGACGCCGCCTTCGGCGTCTGCCCTCTCCTCCAGACCGTTCAACCGCCTGGCCGTCCCGCGTCAGGCTGGGCACCGCGTGTCTCCAGCTGCCATCTGCCCGACGATCTCGCCTTCCGCCGCCGCTTGCGAGCCGTCAACATCCCTCTGGTGTAGCTGTCTCGACCCGCACCCGCCCAAATCCGGCGGGGTCAGGGCACTGCAGCCCATCATCCACGCTTCGCATCCCCTCCGTCACCAGCCCCCACGCATCCCTTCGGTGGATTTGGGCTAAAGCTCGGTTGGCAGACTTGATGTAGAAGTCTGCATCATCAATTACAGTTACGATAACCCGGAGATTGCCGGCCTCGCGAGACCCTTCACCGCTTATCTATCGCCGACGCTATAACCCCTCCAACCTTCGGCGGTCCACGCGACCATAAATTGGTCGTACACGACGAAGCCACATTGCCGCTGCTCCTGGTGCGCTGGCGCATACGGCCTCCGCAGCTCGATGAAGGCTGTGGCCGCCTCGCTTCGTTGAGCGCCACAAGGTTGCCCAACTTCACCAGTGCGGGTGGCAACATCAGCCTCATCGCTCCAGGGTGGATGTATCTGCCGGTCACGTTAGCCCCAATCCACCGAAGGGATGATTGTGGGCGGTGTGTGCTGAAGGGATAAGAAGTGCCCCGTTGCTTCTGGGATAATGGTTGTGAAAACACCAAACCGACCCAAAAGAAGGAGCACCAAATAGATGCTACCACGTAACGACCCCGACCGCATCCAGATCGCCTTCGACGACCACCGCCTGGTCAGCAATGCGGCTGATCCTTCCGTCCACCTTGGCACTGCATCTGGGCCTGCCCAACTGGTTGATCAGGCACCTGGACCTGGGCCGTGCCCTAGGCGGAGCCAACCCGGGCGACAAGATCATGACGCTGGTGGCCTCCGCGCTGGCTGGGGGCGACTGCATTGACGATGCCGACGGGTTGCGTGCTGGCAGGACCGCGCGGTGCTGGGCTGCGTGGTCAAGGCGCCATCACCCTGGGCACGTTCCTGCGCAGCTTCCGTTGGGGCCACGCCCGCCAGCTGGATCGGTGAGCCGGGAACTGCTGGCCCGGGCGTGGGGCTGCGGGAGCGGGACCCCGGCGACTGGGAGTTGACCATGACCTGGACTCCACCATCTGCGAGACCTACGGTCTGGGCAAGGAAGGCGCCCGCCACCACGGCTACACCGGCCAGCGGGGCTATCACCCACTGTTGGCCGTCGCCGCCGGCACCGGCGACGTGCTGATGGCTCGGCTGCGTGAGGGCCGCGCCAACACCACTCGGGGCGCCGCCCACTTCCTGCGTGAGACGATGGGACGGGTACGCTACGCTGGGGCCAGTGGGCCACTCACCGTGCGGGCCGATAGCGGCTTCTATAACCACGCCATGGTCACCACCTGTCGAGAGACCAACGTCCGCTTCTCCATCACCATCCGCCAACACCAGAGCCTGCACAACCAGATCGAGGCCATACCCGAGGGGGACTGGACGCCCCTACCCTACTGGATGGACGGTGCTGCCGACGTGGCCGAGACTACCTACATCCCCTTCGAGAGTGCGCCCGACGCCGCGCCGGTGCGGCGCATCGTCCGC